AATGCTTGAAAACCTTGCACCGCCGCCTCCAACCTTTCCCTCAAATGCGAGCATGGGGGATACAGTACGACTATCCCTCCACCTCGAAGTACAGTACACAATGTTCACCCACCTCAAAGTGTGTGTACAGTTTTCCCCCTCCCTCGCCCATCTCTGCACACATCCCCTGTCCCGGCCCCCCCCTTCCCCCTTCCCCCTTCCCCCTTCCCCCTTCCCCCTTCCCCTCCTCCGACTCCCCTCCGCTCCGACCACATGACAAGATCTCGTTCCCCTATTATGGCGCACCTTTACACGCACAGGTCCTACTTTCCTGCCAGCCCTGGGTTCTGATATTTCCCACCGACCTCCTTTTCTCCCCCCATTCCGCCTCCTGCTTGTCCTTCCTTACTGCAAGCAGAGCGGAGTGTGCTGCTGTGCAGGGATAGGTCAAGCTATACTCGCCCAGCAGATGTTCCTTGCCAATAAAAAACGGCCATTATCTGCGATAAGATTTCGCCTGAGCGCGTTCTCAGGTGTAATCACTAACAGAAACACAGTTTCTCGATATAGTTTGAATAAATTCTGGCTCATGTTTATATGCAGTCACTCAAAAAAGGAATTCTAGCACTTGCAAAAAAATAAATATAATGCCCGTAGCGAAGCTATATGATTTCCAGGAAGGATCAACCCTAAATACCGAAAGCCACCCAATATTTTGGAAAACATACTGCAACCCACTTGACAAAAAAAATAACCCACCTCGGATTGGGATGCGGCTCGGGAGGCATCCAGGTTCCCTAGGGGTTTTATTTTTTTTCTGCCATGCCCGAATAGATATCGGTAGTGTCGTCTAGTGCTTTCGGTAGCGTTGTTTAGCGGTCGGTTGCGCTACTGAGCACTACCAAGTGAATTATATGGGCTTCATTCTCTTACTACCTTAATTTCCGTACATATATCCAGCTCGGAAGGGTAAACTGGATGGTTTTGTTTTTGTCACTTCCTAATGAGTTCGACCAGCGTGAGAAATGTGACTAAAAAGCGATGACCAATCAACGTTGAGAAAGTCCAGGTTGATCACACCTGAGAACGCGCTCTGGGAAAATCTGAGTATCGGAGATAATGGCCGCAATCAGAAATGCCAGTCACCTTAACTCTAACCGTCTATGGCACCACGTTGACGTCCAAATTACAGTAGTGAGTGTGGTGGGGTGAGGAGGAGGAAGGGGCTACGTCTACGCGTACTCTTTCAGTCTGCAGGAGTCCACCCCACCCACCTCGCAGTTGCAACTTACCAGCTGTGCGGGGAAGAGAAGTCGTTATCATTCACCACCATCCACTCAGAAAGACTGATTTTTGAATCGACTCAAAAATCCTCCCAGTTGCACCAGAGACAACTGGCCGTAGGAGGAAGAGTAGCATAATTATTATCCACCACCATCCATTCGGAAAGACTGCGTTGACGGCCCGCATATTTGCTCCTAAAATTATTAACTTTAGAGGCGCATAAGCAGCAGCGCACCGGAACTGCAGCAGTTGGCACATTCGCAGCCATGGCGTGCGGGATGAGCTTCATGGATGCCCTTCGAGTCGCGGCAAAGACGAAAGACGCTCCGTCTGAGTGGTTCGAGCATCAACCCACGTGGCCCACGAATCCCTTCCCCAAAGATAAAACCAGCCCCGAGCCCGTTTCAGCGACGAACCATCCCATGCCGAGCCTATCCATGCCGAACATCCAGATGCCGAGCCTCCCCATGATGCCGAGCCTTCAGGCGCCAAGTCCAAGAAAGCGAAGGCAATGCGGCCCGGAGACGCCTCGAAAAACCCGCTCCGAGTCGCCAGCTGCCGCAGATTCTACCGATGCTTTCGCGGATCTTAACAATGCCGCTCCAAGAACTAGTAATAGCGAGGTATTTTTTAGATTTATTCAAGATCCTGCCTCTGACGCTTCCGTGGGACCCGCAGAGGGCGCCGGTTCGGCAAATCTTGACAACGCGGTTCCAGGATCTGGCAGGGAGAGAGAGGGGGAATTTCGACATGCCGAGCCTGCTAAGATTTTCTGCAACGACTGGCCTGCATACGGTCGAACAGAGACGCCCCAACCTACTAGCGCCACGGCTCAACACGGCGCTATCACCGCCGCGCAATGCGGTGCCAGTACTGTTACTGGACTCGCCACGAGGCGCTCGCCCCGACCGCCGCGCCGTCGCGAGATTCGTCAGCCTCCGCTAACGCCGAAGGCTCGCACTCTCGCGTGGGGAATGCGGTCGCCGGCTGCGGCGGAAGCAAATCCCGCCGAAGAGTCCGCTCCTCCGCCACTCCGCTTGACATCCTCCCCCGTCTCCGCCGCCTCCCCCGCCTGTTCCTCCTTCCCCTCTTCCCCCAAGCTGCTCGTATTGCCGGATTCCGCCTTCTTTCCTTCCCCGCGCATCCCCGAAGCGCGTTTTACCTCCCCACGGACAAGCACGCCCGCGCCTTTCGAGCCGCCTCAAAACACTGCCTCGCGGCCTCCGGCCTTTCGTTCCGCGGCCTCTCCGCGGGCGTGTTGCACTGTCTTCGAGGCGCCTCAAAAGTGTGGCACCGCGCCAACCACTCCATCGTGTCCGCCTCTCGTCGAGCCGCGACTGCCCCGAGCGCGCACGTGTGACGTTGCAGCAGACAGCGGCGGAGGAGCGCCCGCCGTCTCCGCGGGCGCGTCCGCCATCCGCGGAACATTATCCGCTTTGGGTTACTCCCCCGCCGCCGTTTCCCCCGCATCTTCATGCCCAACGATTGGCGCCGTTGACCAAGTCAACGGCCACGTGTCGACATGCGAATGGGCTGAATCTGCCGACATGGACACGTTGGACATACCGCCGTGGGTGCGAGAAAAGCTCTCTCTTTCCCGCACGGAAGAGGTGCAGAATAATGAGTCGGCCGGACTCACAAGAGTCAGTCGAATGGACCGCGAAGCGATGGCGGATGGCAACAAGCGAGCGGGACGCGTCGAGTGCGGAGGCGAGTGCGGCAAGGTGTGCGGCGGCGAGTGCGCGGAGAATCGAAGCCGCGAGAGGGACGCGGAAGGCGAGAAGCCGAGCCTGTGGGACATCATGCAATGGGAATCCGATATGATCTCGTCCGTCTGCTCGACTGCCGCTGCTAAATCTCCCCGACCGCCGTTCTCTAAGAGTTCAACATTTGAGGCGCCGCAAAGGTCGCTCTCTAAGCGGCACCGCTCCGCGTCTGCTCTCCCCACCACTCCGCCTCCCACGCCATCCGCGTCTAAAGCGTCACTGACGATCCAGATCTGCGACGACGCGAGCGCCAACTGCGGAGATTTATCGTTTTTCGAGGAGCTGCTGCAGGAGTTCGGCGCGGGCGAGGGGGAAGAAGCGGGCGGAGAGATGGAGGACGAACCGGGATGGGCGGAAGAAATGCGCATTCCGGCGGAAGAAACAGCTCATTTTGAGGAGGTTGCGCCTGTTGTGCCGCAGCTAGACGACAGCTGGGGTGATTTTGCGGTGAAAATGGAAGATGACGGGAAAGCTGACGGCGGGAAGGGGTTAAGGATCGACGGGGAGAGCATTTTTGAGCGGATTCAAGTAATGGGGGACGAGGGGCCGGAGATGGGGGACGAAGCGACGGGGATGGCGGAGGATGGAGTGGAGATGGCGGATGAGGGCGCGGGTATGGCGGATGAGGGCGCGGGGATGGCGGATGAGGGCGCGGGGATGGCGGATGAGGGCGCGGGGATGGCGGACGAGGCGGAGATTCCATCCAATAAACTATCGCATGATCAGCCTGCTGCTGCTCGAAATATCTTGAGCAGTGTTCAGCTGCAGCGGAAACAGGGGGAAGTGGGGGAGGCAGATGCGGAGCAGCAGAACGGGCCGCAGTGTGGTTCACCGTCCCGTTCCGCGCATGGTTCTCCGAGTGCCCCTGCTGGCGGATTCGCGCAGATGTGGTCAGAAGCTTGGGCGGACGACGCGGACGCAGAAATACCAGGGCTGGCGGGGAGCTGCTTGTTCCGAGCGTGACTAGAGAAAAAAATCGTGGTGAGCTGTACGCGCTACAAGCTCCTGCCCTAATAAGATGTTTTACTGGCGATGCTCTGGTTCCAGAAGTGAAGCATCGAAGTGCTCTGGTGCCACTACTGCTGTTACCCTCAAGGAGTTTCAACTACAGCTACAGTACCAGCTACAGTTACAAACTGCGTCGGCTGAGTTTCCCGCTACATTGTTGAGATGGTGCTGTTACATCATCACCTCCTGATGTCAGGAGGATGAGAAGACAAGCTGATTTGCTGATTTGATTTGCCACCACCCTGGAGATGATTTGATCCAGTCCACATACGGAGCTCTACCTGATACCACGGCTCCACTTCACCGTCTTTCTGCTCCCTACCTTGCTCTTTGCCCCGCCGCTTACCTCACTCTAGCTCCTTCTCCCTGCCTCTTCTTGCCTCACACAAAGCCTCGCTCCCCCTTCTGTCACATCACCTTCACCCACCGATTCTTCCCCCTCTCCTGTATCCTCACCTTCACCCTCCGATTCTCCCCCCTCTCCTGTGTCCCCACACCCCTTCCTCGCCCCTCCTTCCCACATCCAACCACACCACCACACCCCTGTCCTGAGCCCTCTTGCTCTCTTGTTACCCAGCACAAACCATTCTTTTATTCCCCTTCAGGGAAAGGGCCCATTGTGGGATATTTCTGTTTTAGCGCTTCCCTTGGCTCCACTATATTTACCGTATATGGTGTTTGAATCGTCTTCCTGAAACAATCAAGTTGTAATGTGCCATGATGGTATCTTTTGTTTGTCCTTGATGTCGTTGCATGAAAGAGCAGTCAGCCATTGGTGTTTCTTAGTGGTCTACCATTCAGTTTCTGTCCAGAACAAGAGCAAGGCACTCACAGCTTACCCGAAGAAATGTGTCATACGGTGGCAGTCTGTAATTTGACACAACCAAGTCACATCAATCATCACCAAAGCAGTATTATCTCTATAATTTCCAACTCACTCAATAAGGAGTATAATCCCCCTCTCTACTGCTCACTATCGAGGCCAAAAGCACGGATGTAGAACTCGAAGCGCTGCTTCTCCTGCTGCTTATCCAGCATTGTGTCTTCCCACTTGTAGTGGTGCCGCGGCCGCTTCTCCTGACGGGGTGAAATGAGAATGGAAAGGAGGTGTGGAAACAAGGAGGGTGAGATGAGAATTAGTTCATTCTAGCAGCGCTGCTTCTCCTCCTCCTGCTTATCTAGCATCGTGTCTTCCCACTTGTAGTGGTGCTGCGGCCGCTTCTCCTGACGGGGTGAAATGAGAATGGAAAGGAGGTGCGGAAACAAGGAGGGTGAGATGAGAATTAGTTCATTCTAGCAGCGCTGCTTCTCCTCCTGCTTATCTAGCATCGTGTCTTCCCACTTGTAGTGGTGCCGTGGGCGCTTCTCCTGAGCAGGTTTGGGGACAGAGAAAGGCGAGAAAAGGGGAGAGTGAGAGAAGAATTGGCACCTGGCAGGGCGCTGCTTCTCCTGCTGCCTATCCAGCATCGCGTCTTCCAACTTGTAGTGGTGCCGTGGGCATTATATAAGATTGGAAGCGCTGCTTCTCCTGCTGCCTATCCAGCATCGCGTCTTCCCACTTGTAGTGGTGCCGTGGGCATTATATAAGATTGGAAGCGCAGCTTCTCCTCCTGCCTATCCAGCATCGTGTCTTCCCACTTGTAGTGGTGCCGAGGACACTTCTCCTGAAAGGGTGGTAACCAGGAGCAGTGAGAAAGCGGAGGGACAAGGAAGAGTAGGAGTGAGATGAGAAAGAAGAAGCGTTTCTTCTCCTGCTGCTTATCCAGCATTGTGTCTTCCCAATTTAGGGTTTCGGGTGAGGAGGCCGCTTCTCCTGAGACGGTGAAGACGGGACGGAGTGAGAAGAGAAATGAGAGGAACAATAGAAGGAAACACTATATCCCCACACCTCACGTCTTGCCCCTGTCTTCTATCCTCACCTTGGAGTTGCCTGCCAGGTAGGCGCGCATCTTATCCGCCACGTCATCGTCCAGCTGGCGCTTGAGCAGATCTCGGTAGATGCGGCGCACCGTGGCCATCGGATCGGCCACGAGATCGCTGTAGCGCACATCAACGGCCTGGGATGACTGCAAAGCAAGCACGGCAGTACTGTCAGATGAAGTCAGGTCATGACTACTCTCTTCACTGTTGCTACCGTTGCTGGTGCTGCTCCTGGTTACACCAACAGGTGAAGAACCATTGCTGCTGCTTCCGTTGCTGGCAGTACTGCACACACTTCCCTCCACCTCATCTCCTTCCCCTTTCTTCTCCCCCTTCGTTACAGTCACATAGCCCTTTGAGCCATTTGTACGCTCCCTCTCTTCAGTCACTTCTTCTTTCCCCTCTGTGCCTGACCCGTCAATCCCCCGCAGCCGCATCATCTCAGCCAATGCGCTTGCGACAGCTGGCACCCATGTCTGAGAGATCTGGAGGCAGAACGGAAGGGAAAGGGATGGCAAAGGGCATATTTCGAGGAAAGGAAGACGAGTGAGGGAGGAGGCGACATGTATACAGCATCTAAGAAATTTGGTCGATGCATGTTCAGCTTCGATATTGCGCATGATAGATGCATGATAGATGCATGATAGATGCATGATAGATGCATGATAGATGCATGATAGATGCATGATAGATGCATGATTGATGCATGATAGATGCATGATAGATGCATGATAGATGCATGATAGATGCATGATAGATGCATGATAGATGCATGATTGATGCATGATAGATGCATGATAGATGCATGATAGATGCATGATAGATGCATGATAGATGCATGATAGATGCATGATCGATGCATGATCGATAACACTGCATCTCTTTTTAGGAGAACGCCTTTTTTTCTTTTAGTGGATTTACAACCTCAGATTTACCTCTGACTTATCCACATTGTCCGAGTGGATGCTCCGTACTCCCCTTATAAGGCTATGTGCCGATGCCAGCACAGTCAACGGATTCCTGGCGGGATAAACAAAAGATACAAAGACAGGATCTCAGAGAAGGCACAAGATACATACGAAAGTATGTGGGAAAAAGTCGGTAAAGAGAAGGCAATTTATCCCCCTATAGTCAACTGTGTGTGTGTGAAGAGAGGGTCGCTCATTACCACACACATTGTGGTCCCTCATCCTCGTTAGAAATGTGCAACTGTCTCCCTACCCCCCATCCCCGAACCCTTCTCTTTCCCAAACCTCAAACCCGTGTGAGCAGTTCAGCTTGGCATCAGGAAAAGCAGCCATGCGTGAGGGCAGAGAGAAGAGGTGAGCCGGGCACGAGGATAAGGTGAGCGGGGTCGAGCCAGCGGGGGGCCTTGGGCCCTCGCCACTGCAGGTAATGCAGCTGCAGCTGCCACCGTTAACCTGACTCTTACCCCACCACCCCCTACCAGTTTCACCTCACCTGTGGGTGAAGATCAGATTGGCAGCAGGGAAGGCGGCCATGAGTGCAGGCAGAGAGAAGAGGTTAGCCGGGCACTTGAGCAGCCACCGGGGGGCTTTAGGGCCGCGCCGCTGCAGCTACTGCAGCTGCTTCCCATAACCCCTACCCACCCCTTCCCCTAGCCGTTATCCCCTAACCCAGCGCATTTTTCTCATCACCTCTCACCTGTGTGTGAAGATGAGTTTGGCGTCGGGAAAAGCGGTCATGAGCGCAGGTAGAGAGAAGAGGTGAGCTGGGCACTTGAGCAGCCACTGGGGGGCTTTAGGCCCTCGCCACTGCAGGTACTGCAGCTGCCAGTGCAGGAGGCGGTAGGTGGGGGTGAGGTCTGAAGAGAGGTACCATCGAAAGTAGGAAGGGACGTTGAAGTGGATGGTGGGGAAGGCAAAGGACGTGAAATCGTACCTGGTTGGAAGAAAAAGGGGGGAAGGGAGGGGAAGAGTAGAGATGCAAACACATTCATGTGCAGATTAGAGTAGCATGCACTGCACTGGACCTTGGGTCTCCACCAGTGCATGTACTGCAGCTGCTGTTGCCACCACCCCCAACCCTGTGCTGCACTGCAGGTACTAGGTGGGGGTGAGGTCGGAGGAGAGGTACCAGCGAAAGTAGGAAGGGATGTTGAAGTGGATGGTGGGGAAGGCGAAGGATGTGAAATCGTACCTGGTTGGGTGGGGGAGGGGGAGTGGGAGAGGGAGAGGGAAGAGAGGAGAAAGGGAAGGGGGTGCCGGAGGGGAGAGGCAGGCGGGGGTGGTTGATGTTGAAATAGATGGTGGGGAAAGTAGATTGAAGTCGTACGTGGGAGGGCATGGTAGGGGAGGATGAGGGTTGAAAATACACTCAACTAGCATCACAAGATCATGCAAGGGTGACGGCAATAAGGAGGATGGCAATAAGGAGGACGGTAATAAGGAGGCAGTAATAAGGAGGACGGTAATAAGGAGGACGGCAATAAGGAGGACGGCAAAAAGGAGGACGGCAATAAGGAGGACGGCCATAGGGAGGACGGCAATAGGAAAGACGGCAAGACAAGGAAAGACCAGCTAGGGGGTCACAAACGAGTAAATGGGCAGATAAATAACAAGAGGGGCTCATTACATGTAGAAAGTGATTTTGTGAGACGTCTAAAAAAAAACACTTTCTACAAGAGGGGCTTCATATTTCTCACACCATGTTCCCCTCGGGGGTTCAACACTTCTCACATACCAACCACTCCCCCACTCACATCATGAGTCCCATGCACTCCTGTGGCCCTGTTGCTGTCACGGGATGCAAGGCCTGCAAGGGGCAGGTTGGAAGGGGTGGAGAAGGATCGGGAAGGGTGGGGACGGTAGTAAGGGCAATACGAGTTCCAAGTATTGACCAGGAAAGAGCACCTCGTATCACTTCCTTTCAGATAATATGAAATGTAGAAGACAGAAAGAAACAATAGTACACACCTGGAAGCAAGGAAACAATAGTACACACCTGGAAGCAAGGAAACAATAGTACACACCTGGAAGCAAGGAAACAATAGTACACACCTGGAAGCAAGGAAACAATAGCAGAGCAGAAACCCCCTCCAAAAAAGCCTCTGTCTCCCCAATGCGCTTATCAGTGTGGTAGCTTAGCAGGTGACGTCTGGGGAAGGGTGCATCTGATTCATGGAATACCCGAACAGTACCGTCTAAGAAACTCAATACCCGATGCGTTTGTCCGAGTCATGACAGGTGGCATCCGGGGGAGGGTGCGGTGCAAGTGATGCACCTCCCATGTGAGCGGCGAGCGACAAAGAGAGCACACAGCAGCACCACCCACCTGAAAGGAAGGAAGCAGTGCAGACACACCCTCCAAAAAGGCTTCTGTCTCCCCAATGCGTTTATCGGTATCGTAGCAGGTGGCGTCCGGGGGAGGGTGCATGTGATGCACCTCCCATGTGAGCGGCGAACGGAAGAGCGATGTGTCGAGGGCGAGCAGGTTGAAGAGAAATGTTGTTCCTGTTCGAGGCAGGCCTAGGATGAAGACAGGGGCCTGCTTATAGCGGGGATAGGAAGGGCAGGAGAGGGACGCGGAAGAGCAATGTGTCGAGGGCGAGGAGGTTGAAGAGGAAAGTGGTGCCCGTGCGCGGCAGGCCTAGGATGAATACAGGGGCCTGCTTATAGCGGGGATAGGAGCGACAAGGGACGTGGGGGGGAGGAGGATAAGTGGAAGAGCGATGAGTTGAGGGCGAGCAAGCTGAAGAGGAAAGTAGTGCCCGTGCGCGGCAGACCTAGGATGAATACCGGGGCCTGCTTATAACGGGGACAGGAAGGGCATGAAGGAGGAAGCGGAAGAGCGAGGTGTCGAGGGCGAGGAGGTTGAAGAGGAAGGTTGTTCCTGTGCGGGGTAGGCCGAGGATGATTACAGGAGCCTGCTTGTAAGGGGGGGGAGGCAGGGAGGGGGGGATATATAAGCAGAAGAGAGGGGAGACCACAAAGCAGGTGAATGCGGGGTATGGGCCGCCAAGCTGATACCCACAAAGCCTAGGTCAAGAGTTCAGTCAACGCTGAGTCAATGCAATAATTACTCAGTGAAAGGCCTAGGCCATACCCACCCATGCACGCACCCACCCACCCACCCACTCACTCCCTCCTTCCTCTCACACGCACCTCGATCTCCTCCTCTATCTCCAGGTGTCTCTTCCTCATGTTACTCATTCACTCACCCCAACGCCCACCCACTCACTCACCCACTCACTCACTCCCTCACCTTCACTCCCTCCCTTCTCCCGCACGCACCTCGATCTTCTCCTCCTCTATTTCCGGCTGTCTCCACCTCGTATCCTCCAGCTGCAAGCGGTACCGCAGCAGACGCTGGGGGGAGGGGAGAGGAATGAGGGATTCAGAACCAAGGGGAGAGGAATGAGGGATTCAGAACCAAGGGGAGAGGAATGAGGGATTCAGAACCAAGGGGAGAGGAATGAGGGATTCAGAACCAAGGGGAGAGGAATGAGGGATTCAGAACCAAGGGGAGAAGGTGAGGGGGTGTGTGGGGAAACTGCCTGTTCATGCCACCTGCCTCCTCGTATCCTCCAGCTGCAGGCGGTACCGCAGCAGGCGGCGGTGGGGGTGGGGAAGGGGGGGGAAGGGGGGAAAGGGGGAGGCGGAGGAGAAAGGGGAGGTGGAGTGGGAGAGTGAAGTGGAGGAATGGAGAGGGCAGAGAGAGGGGGAGAGAAGGGGCAGGTACATCTGTTTAGTATCTTTCCACTGTACGTCACTGACCGTAGCTTGCTCACCATTAACTGTACCAATACATCATATACTGTAGCTGTGTATATCCAGCCAGTAATTCTTTTATACACCATTCACTGTACCTGTACATCGTTCCATATAAGAATCCTTCCAAACGCGCTCAGCCTCGCCTCTTCTTCAAGCCCCTTCAATAGAAGCCGCAGCCCCGTCAGGAACGTCCCCTCGCCATGATCACGCAGTCCCGTGGCCTTGTACGCGGCGCGCAGCACGGCGCGTTCCTCTAACGGGAGCAGCCATTGCAGCAGGCGCGTCCCGAGCGGCGGGAGGAAGAGGAAACCGCAGAGGGCGTCGATGAGCCGCGTGGCAAGGTTGACGAAACGGGCGAAGAGGGGCAGGAGGTAACGACGCATGGCGAAGTATCGTGACGCGAGTGACCAGGAGCAAATAAGGAACAAAGACCACTAAGGAGCGACGGCGACGGAGCGAGGGAGAGGCAGGAAAGGAACGAAGAAACGACCAGTGCGACGGATCGACGGAGCGACGGATTCAGAGCCTCCGATAAGATAAACTCCCTCGCCCGCTGCAAGCCAGTCCTTGCACTGTGCCTTCGCCTTCTAATGGTTGAGTCGACTCAGGAAAAAGTGTCTTCTGTGTCTTCTCATTCTAAGAAATCGACACTGTCCGTTTCCCATGGTTTCGCCTTATCACTAGTTCCCAGAAAGTTTCGCCGGCCGGTGGCGGCGCCGCGTCGTTCGCTGTCGTTCGATGTGAGCAAGGCTCAATCGACACGACCATGTGAGGAGAGCTTGGTGGCTCCGCTAGGTTTAGCTTGGTTCGGTTCGGTTCCCCTCGGGCATGCGGGGACGCGGGACGCGACATCGGAACACACGATAGGGCTGACGAGACAAGGCGATGCTTCGACTCCACCCCGTTCGACCATGTTGGCAAACCGGTGGCACGGGAACGGCTGACGAGGAGGGTTGTGGGTGACAAGAGGACGACGCTAAGAGCGTGCAGTACATACGGCAATGCATGTGCACGGGCCATCAAGAAGCATTCTTCGCGACTCGGTGGAGGACATGCAACATTAGCGCCGCGCATAAACGAGCATGCACGATAATCTCCGCCAACTCATTACTGTAGTTATTCACTGACTTGACCCAGGCGACCTTCATTGGAAACTAGGTCCGTACGTCTGCGGTATTAGCAAGCCTCAATCGAGTGAGGATAATGGGGTGAAGGGCATATGGATACAAAACAAATGTCTTTCCGCCAAAGATCACCTACCAAATGCTATTACACTAGCCTTGGTCTCTGCCTATCAATTAGGCTCGGGTCATGGAAGTGGCTAATATTCATCCACTTCACTAGTTTAAACTGCAACTGCTCGACAATCCCAAAATTCTTATGGTAAAATATATCCCTTACCTTCTTGGGTCCAACATTTTTCCTAGGGCAGCTTTTGAACCCCTGCCGCTTCTTGAAAATAGGTGAACTCTTCATAACGCCCAGATCGTTGCTGTCATAGTTGAAGAATTTCGCCGAGCGGGAGGTTACGTTGATGTGGCGGTGCGTATTTAACTTGGGTGTGTTTGGAAGCTTCTCCACACAGTAACGGTAATTCATGTCGGCATCTTGGATGTCGACCAACACCAGGTCGATGTAATTATTTGTGGGCAGCCCACTGCACTTGCCTGTCTCCATATCTTTTAGAGTGCCCGGAGCGTTTGTGTTACACTTAACCCCGTTAATGGAGGTCTCGTTACAAATGCTCTTCATCCATGGCCATTTCTGAAAGACAGGAACTCAACAAAGGAAAAAGAAGAAAAGAATACCGGTAACCGGAACAAACGAACAGAATAAAGGAAACAGGGTGGAGAGTTGTGAGGGTTTTCATAGATTGGATGGATGTGGACTGGTAAACCTACTCAATAGAAGCAAACAGAGGAGCAGAGCACTGTTGTAGCACTTGGGGCAGTTGCACACGGTGCCAAAAGATTACCGAGTTGGCTCATAAGGGGGCAATACCTGCTGAATCACAGTGTTGCCCGGGGTCCTTGAAGCGGTTTCACACCGTTCAGAAATATTACTGAGTTTGCCTATAAAGGGTTAATACCTGCTGAAAAGCGGCAGTGCTGTAGTACTTGGATCACATGCGGTCCCAGTAGTTGGCCGGGTCCTTGAGGAAGAAGCACACTGCTCTAGAAGATCTTATGAGTTGGCTTATAAGGGGTACAAGACCCACCTGCTGAAACACGGCGCTGCTGTAGTACTTGGATCGCATGCGATCCCAGTAGTTGCCCGGGTCCTTGAGGCAGTTGCAGAAAGTACAAACAGATTAGTGAAGTGGCTTATAAGGGGGATATATGCTACCTGCTGAAACACAGCCGTGCCATAGTACTTGGCTCGCATACGGTCCCAGTAGTTGCCCGGGTCCTTGAGGCAGTTGCAGATGGTGGCAGTGATGCACGCGCACCACCCCGGCGTGCCTTCCGTGCCCTTCATCACCACATGCTCTATGCGGTTCCTGAGGAGGGAAGAGAGGGCGAAAGGGCAAGGGATGGTCATCATGCAGTAGGATATAGGGTGATCGAGTGGCAGTGAGGCACGTGCACCACCCCGGTGTGCCCTCCGTGCCCTTCATCACCACATGCTCTATGCGGTTCCTGTGGAAGGCAGTGGGGCAAGAGGAGCAAGCGATGGGGAACGCGGAAGAATACAGGGGGGCACAATGCCAGGCCACTACCCTTCATCACCACGTGGGAGATATTGTGAGTCGACTCAAAAGTCACCTCGAAACGCGAAAGAATGCAGGGGGACACAACACAATGCCAGGACAGTGCCCTTCATCACCACGTGGGAGATATGGCTCCTGTGGAGGGAAGAGCGAAGGATGGGAAGCGCAGTAGAATATAAAGGGACATGACACCCATGACTCACCATTCCCCATTGCTGACTCACCATTCCCCATTGCTGACTCACCATTACCCATTGCTGACTCACCACTCCCCATTGCTGACTCACCATTCCCCATTGCTGACTCACCATTTCCCGTTGTTGACCTTCATGCCATCCACCGTCCCGATACAAGCCCCTCCGCGTATAGTCACACCCGAGCTGGCATAGTCCAGGTAGTAGCAGTGGTCACCCCCGATTATGTAGTTGCACTCCGCCAAATTACCCGGGTTAATCCAGTGCGTTACGAAGTATATCCCTGTGGCGTCCCAACCCCCTGTGAGGTTCCGGCCTGCTGCCACAACGAGGTTGTTGGAGATGGTGCTCAGCATGCAGTCGCCCTGGGAAGTGGGGGGAACGAAAGAGGGAAAGGGGCCGGACAAGTGAGGAGGGGGAATGAGGCGGTTGAAGAGGTTCCGGCCCTTGTCACAACAAGGTTGTTGGAGATGGTGCTGAGCATGCAGTCTCCCTGGGAGGGAGGATGGGAGAGGATGGGGGGGGATGGAAGGGAGTGGGGGGTGTTGAGCTTCCGGCCTGCTGCCCTAACAAGGTCGTAGATATGGTGCTGAGCATGCAGTCTCCCTGGAAAGTTGGGGGGACGAACGAGGGGAAAGGGGCAAGTGGGGACGAGGGGGAGTGAGGGGGTTGAAGAAGTTTTGCCCTGCTGCTACAATCAGGTTGTTTGCAATGGTGCTGGGCATGCAGCTGCCCTGTGGAAAAGAGGGGAAGGGAGGAAGAGGGGTAAAGAGGGATATGGGGAGACGGCGTGAGGGGTACGTGAGCGGGGTAAAGGAAGAAGTGAGAGACACAAGTGAGGAAGGCAATCAGTGAGGAAGGCAATCAGTGAGGAAGGCAATCAGTGAGGAAGGCAATCAGTGAGGAAGGCAATCAGTGAGGAAGGCAATCAGTGAGGAAGGCAATCAGTGAGGAAGGCAATCAGTGAGGAAGGCAATCAGTGAGGAAGGCAATCAGTGAGGAAGGCAATCAGTGAGGAAGGCAATCAGAGAGGAAGGCAATCAGTGAGGAAGGCAATCAGTGAGAAAGGCAATCAGTGAGGAAGGCAATCAGTGAGGAAGGCAATCGGTGAGGAAGGCAATCAGTGAGGAGTACGTGAGCGTGAGGAAGGCAATCAGTAAACTGGAACTGGAGCATCACTGGCAGGTAGGCATCGCACCTGCGAGTGCACCATGTTGCTGCATGTGATAGCAGCAAACACATAGTCGTGCGTGCACTTAGTCGTTCCTGACAACCCCCCCCCACAACACCAAACTAGAGCATCACTGGCAGGTAGGAGGCACCTCACCTGCGAGTGCACCATGTTGCTGCATGTGATAGCGACAAACACATAGACGTGCACGTACTTGTCCCTGACCACCGCACCCCCCGTGCCAGGTGTGTTTTGGGTCGACTCGCACTTTCTCGCACCTGTGAGTGCACCATGTTGCCGCACGTGATTCCAGCAAACACGAAGTCATGCACGTAGTTGTTCCTCACGACCACGCCCACCGCGCCCACATGTAACAGCACTGGCATGTACGCGCCTGGGGGGTGTAAAGATTGGCAGAAAGGGATGGAGAGGTGTGGAAAGCGGTGGGGAGGGGTTGATGAGTGGAGTGCACGGAGAGTTGCAGCCGACATATGGTCGTGCACATGAATGTTGTGAGCACTGCCTTCAAGTGCCAATGCATAAAATAAAATTACTGGTATGTACCATGCCAAGGGTTACCATACTGCATCGCATCACACCACAACACGCCACACCACACCAGTTCACACCACAACAGACCGCACCACACCACACCACACCTACCGTAGATATCTTATTTGTCATGTACACGTGGCAGCACACCACCAGGCGTCCGTACCTCGACAGCATGGCCTGTGATTGGTGGTGTACACGTGGTAGCAAGCAAGAGGTACCAAACCGCACCGCACCGCACCACAGCACGCTACACCGCACCCCACCCCACCCCATTAACGCCTCCTACCAAGGATCTCAATATTGGTGATGTACACGTGACAGCGCACCAGCAGGGGCCCGTGCCCCACCAAGCAAGCAAGCTAGGGTATGGCACACCATGCCATACTGTGTTGTGGAACTAAACACCCGCAGAGCATAGATCTCATTGTTGGTGATGTAGACGTATGCACGAACCGGCAGGGGGGCATACCCAGACAGCAGACACACATGATTGGTGCTGCACACGTGGAAACAAACACGAGGTACCACACCACACCACACCACACCACACCCCGTCAAACCCACCCACCATAGACCTCATTGTTGGTGATGTAGATGTAAGCCCGCACCAGCAGCGGCCCATACCCCGACAGCATCACTCGGATCACTCCGTTGCCCCTCTTGAAGTCGGACACGCCTGTCATCCTCATCGAGTCAATGCGGCTGTGCATGGTCCGCATTATGTCCACCCGGCCAAACGTGTAGCCCTGGGGGGGGGAAGGGGGTCAAGGAAGGAAGCATTAGTGAGTCAGCTGCCCCTCTTGAAACCAGACACGCCTGTCATTCTCATAGGATCGATGAGGATGAGGGGGCGCCATGGTTGGAACGCCATAGGAGCACTATAATCCTCTGTACTCATTACTAGCAGACTCACTTTAACGATCTGAACGCCGTAGGAGCGGTAGACGTGGATGAGAGGGCAGATGATGTCTGTTCCCACTTCGGGAATCTCCTTGGGGCATGCCTGTGAGTAGGCTCGGAATGGCTGTGACATCTGAATGTGGGTGAAAATGGGAGAGAGGAGGAAAGAAAGGAATAAGAGAGGGGGAGGAGGTGGGGTATGTGTGGATGAGAGGGCAGATGAAGTCCTTTCGACCTGCATGCTATGCTATCTCCGACCCTGCAGGGGACATAGCATAGCACATCAGCCTCACCTGCACACGATGCACAATCATGTTGCTGGTGTTCCACACGCGCAGCAGCGGCTCATCCACCCAATGCACGTACAGCCTATACCCCCTCTTTTTGTGTTACCCAGATGCCACAGCAAACAGCAGCGCACGTTGCACCACCGCACAGCACCACACAGCACCCCACACCACCTCATACCGCATCACCACACCACACAGCACCGCACACCACCTCATACCGCATCACCACACCACACAGCACTGCACAGCACCCCTCTCAACTCACCTGCACGCGCTGAACAATCACATTGCTGGTGTACCACACGCGCAGCAGCGGCTCATCCACCCGATGCACGTACAGCCTATACCCCCTCTTTTTGTGTTACCCAGATGCCACAGCAAACAGCAGCGCACGTTGCACCACCGCACAGCACCACACAGCACCGCACACCACCTCATACCGCATCACCACACCACACAGCACTGCACAGCACCCCTCTCAACTCACCTGCACGCGCTGAACAATCACATTGCTGGTGTTCCATACACGCAGCAGCGGCTCATCCACCCGATGCACGTTCAGCCGATACCCCCTCCCTTTCACCCACATACCATAGCACCACTCCACACCGCACACCACTGCACTGGTCCACACTGCACCACACCACACTGCACCGCTCTCACCTGCACGCGCTGCACAATCACATTGCTGGTGTTCCACAATCTCAGCAGCGGCTCATCCACCCGATGCAAGTACAGCCGATACCCCCTCCCTTTGGTCCCCGCGCTCGATCGCAGCACCGTGCACGCATACTCAGGACCAAACAGTAGGCCTCGGTTCAGAGTCAGGTGGGTTTGAAGCTCCAGAACAACGGTGGTGGAGGGGGGGTGCCTGGTGCGCTTGATGAAATCGGCCTCCTTGGTCACGCGGATGTGCACGGCTGAGGCCAGGGGGGAGCACGCGGATCCTCCTGCAAAGGGAGGGGGGAAGAAGGGTGGGGGAAGAGGAGGTATGTGTGAATCGGCCTGAAGAAAATGGCTTCATTGCAGCACCGTGCACGCATACTCCGGACCAAACAGCAGCCCGCGGGTGAGAATGAGGTGGTTCTGAAGCTCCAGAATGACCGTGGTGGAAGGGAGGGGTGTCTGTCTGGTGCGCCTGCTGAAGTGAGACTCTTTCGTCACTCGGATGAGCACGGCTGAGGCCAAGGGGGAACACGCTGAGGCCAAGTGGGGGGAACACGCTGAGGCCAAGGGGGAACACGCTGAGGCCAAGTGGGGGGAACACGCTGAGGCCAAGGGGGAACACGCTGAGGCCAAGGGGGAACACGCTGAGGCCAAGGGGGAACACGCTGAGGCCAAGGGGGAACATGCTGAGGCCAAGGGGGAACACGCTGATCCGGCGTGATGGGGCCGATATCAGCATATTTGAGTGTATATGTGCGTGTCAGCTTGTATGTATTCGCATGTATCAGTCCCCACGCACCTCTCTGAGCAGGTTAACGTGTGATGTACTCGTTATGGAATGCTTTCACACCAGGCATGTGTACGGACGGTGTTTTAGGGAACTCTCAGGGTGCATATGAAACATGAAATGACAGCTCCCAGGGGGTACAGTACAGTACAGCTTTCAGTCTCACCTTGCTTAGCAGCAGTAGCAGCCGCAGGATCCGAAGTAAGATCATAAGGGTGAGGTTCGGCAGCAGAGTTCGGCTCGGCAGCAAGCAACGCTGCAGGTACGGGACGAGCCTCCTGCGCCATGGATGCGTCCAACCAAGCCATTGTTGCAGGCTCGGACCGAACCTGCTGCTTCAGCCATGGATTCATCCACTCCTGAGGCTCGGCCCATCGCAGAGACTGTGACTGTACCTGTGCCTGTGCCTGTGATTGTGATTCTGACTGCGATTGTGACTGTGCATGTAAGTGTGAATGTGCATGTGTGTGGTGTGACAGTAGGGAAGGTAACTCTGACTGTGACTCTACTTGCACAGGTTGTGAACTGTCCGTAGCGGATCTGTAACCATCCTCGTTACTGGCTGATCTCGCTAATTCGGTACTATAGCTATTCCGATGCCACACACTACGCGGATGCAGGTGGTACAGCGACGAGTGGCGGGATGGCTCGTGAAATGCGCTCCTGTGAGCTGTGATAAGGGCGAGGAGGGGAATGAATGGATGAACAAAAGTGATCCGAAATGAGCATTCTAGCTGGCTCTCGCAAAACTCTCGCATCCTCTGCAAGCATTGCCTTCTGAAAAAGCTATCTGCTTGGAATCTGAGATAGCTATATCCGGCCATTCACTGCACTCTCAGCATCTGACCATTCACCTGCGGCTCGGGCTTGCGCCATATGCGAACGCTGACTGAGAATGCAGAGCGCGAGGACGATTGCACGCAGGCTCAGCTTCGAAACGATCACTTCTGGTATCAGCTTCGTCCACCACGTTCCCCCGCGGCAGTTGCACTTGCGGAGTTCTGATAACAGAATTCTCCGCCGCCTCGTGCGAACCTGGCGAAGACAAGCGCGATTTGTGTTACCCGACGAATCTTTATCACCACCCGTCCGATCATGACGGCCGCTGAATTGACTCTGAGGTCGCTTCTTGCTACCACTGCTACGCGTTGAGAGTCTTCGTACGCTTCTTGATCGGCCAATCATCTCGGTCTGGCTTTAGCGACCGAGCCTGATAAGCTGATTTGGAATCCGAGCCTTATTATACGACTTAAACTTCACCCCGAGCGGGGTTGGTTGACTGATAACAACGAGTGGAGACTGGCAGTTGGCTCGCTCTGATTCAGCTCATTCGCTGGTGTAGAGAGCTTCGATTCTAACTCAGGTAGAGTTTGTCTTGCATAAAATTTCTTGCTTTTTGATGCACGAGCACTCGTTTGGACAATTCAACTGTCTAGAAAATAAAAGGACGGCGCGTCATACGCCTACTACGAGTCTAGCATGACGTACGACTCAGAAGCGAAATCAGCCATTCCGACTGAGTCGACTCAAAATTCAACTTGTTTGGAACCGCGAAACTTGACCAACCGTAACCGTATCCTTTCCGGAGGTTACTGCTCGTAGCCTTGATCGGGTCTCAAATGTAGGCGAGATTAGTCGTCTTTCTCGATTAGCCGTCCACATAAGGCCAGTCGAGCAAGTGATTCATGGGGTTCGCGCCTGGATTCAGGACTTTTGAAGAGGAATAATTGCCAGGCATTGTTGCAACAGGAGCGTGCTAAAATAAGCTGCAACACGACAGGGATGTGCGTGTGTCGGCTTGGAACGGTAATGAATGACCACCTTAGGTCTGTCATTCCCGTTATCTCGCAAATGTCATTTGGATGAAACACAACATGCCTCCAGCAAGGCAGAAATGGGATCTCACAACAAAGCTTTGGCGGCGAACGCTTGAACTGTTACCCGAACACTAGAGTACACCACGCTACTGCGCGATCTCGGTCGTGTGCTTTTGCGAAAGACATCGGTGGCAAGACGGAATGTGGATCTGCTGTACACGAATAGTGACGATCAGGGCTAGTTCGTCTCTCACAACCACACACAAGGGCAATGCACATCACTGAGGGAGGGATGGCAGGGTGGGCGGATCGAGCCTCTGCTTGCAGGGCTGCCTCATGGCGTCAGGTGGTAGGCACGTGGTGAAGCCTGTGGTTTGTCCTGCGAACCGCCATGCCAGCACATACGGTTCAATACAAGCGCTGTTGAACATGTCACAGACATTACAACTCGTCCACCAATTTTGCACCACATAGCAAAAAGCAAGGCAAACACTGTACCATAGAAGACACCCACCATAATTTTTTTTGCTCTTGAAGACAATGCCTCCACCTACGGTAATTTTTTAATCATCCACATCCACACCATAAACAAGCTATTTTATTTTGCTTCCAGTGTCCTGGTCCTGGATCTTGACATGCTGACTGAATGTCAAGGTCCATCCAGCATTCGGGCTTGCTCCATGCTTGATCAATATGGATTGAATGCACAGGACACAACAGGGACCACTACAGACACAGGCCATAACTGGAGCATACTTCTCCATTTTGCAATGGGTAAGGCCATCCGCGATAAAAGGTGCGGGCCAACCTGCTCATAGACTTGCAGGTTAGCATGGCCAATGGAATACAAGCATTGGACGACATTCATCTGGAAGACTCGCTACTCAATGTCAAGAAAATCCATCTGCTTCCGCAACATTCCTTTGAGCTCGGATGCCTCTTTTTCCTCTTTCTGGGCCTACAAAAAGCAGGAAAGGAGACTTCGTGTCATGCAAACAATACACTAAAGCTTAACGTGGCAAGCAGATTATGAGGGCTTCACATACCTGTCGAATCTGTTGTAACGAAACGGAGACCATATTAGGAGGCATTTCTGGCATGTGCTCGTCCTGAAAAGGCATACCGTAAATCACAATCAGCGAAATAACTTCAACCAAGAACGAAGAACAAGAGCCTCGTGAATCAGACCAACTTACAAGTGTGCCTATGAGAACGACGTTCTCTCCTCGGATAATGTACAGTCCCAGAGGCAGGTCGCAGTATTGCTCGCCGACAACAATCCGCTCAGTCGTACGCTCCAGGACAAGATTAGCTGCGCACATAACCCAGCAACATCGATAAGTTCGGTGGAACTGCATACGATAACGTAAGCTTAGGAATGACCTGAGTGCCACGTACCGAATTGGTCGAAAGAGCGCAGGATACCGATTATTTTACGTCCATCTCTAAGAACAACGAGTAGTTTCTCTGCCGACACAAACGTCAGAAATCGTCAATTAAGGACTCCCGTAAGTTAGAATTATCGGCCAAGGCGAGGTGCTTACTGTCTAGCTCCTCAACAAGGCTCGATGTCCCAGGCAGAAATGGCAACCCAGCCCACGACATGCCCAGGAGTTGTCGCCGCTGCTACGATCCGTGGCTGATTACTTCAGCCGCTAACTAAGTGAACGGCAACCATTGAGCGAAGGGGAGATTAGTGGGCAGAATGGTAAGCGACACGGTTCGCGGGTAACGAACGAAGAAGGATCACAGGAACCCTAGTTCTGATTCCAAATGTATGAATGTTCGCGGGTACACGTTGCACTTGAAGCCGGTACAGAGAAGTACAAAGTGAACTGTATACACAAGAACTGAACTGGAGAATGGGAAAACAAGGCAACAAAAAAACAACACCATACATGCAACTTCGTTATAATTCCACAGAAATACAAGGATTAACGCATATTTTTATTATGGAAACCCAACCGACATGAAGTGGACCAGGAAGGCACCAAAGGCTACAACCATCAGAGCTACAATATAGGATACCCCAAGTTCAATTCCCCTAGTGCCTGTCCTGAAATGAACCCACAGATTCAGAGAGTTTCCAGGAGGTTCCATTCTTATCACAACACAATCATCACCACATTCACTTGCTGATGCTTGCAGCCATGCCTGAACTGCGAATCTAGCTGCACAAACACGAGAGCCCCCGCATACAGCTTCAGATAACGATGCAGCATAGGAAGCAGCTGCTGGCGAATGATGATGCACAGCCTTCCTCATAATAGCAATAGAAACTGGCGAATAGTCCCTGAAAATAGAGAGGAAAAAAAACAAGTGAGCGGAAGGATTGGAGAAAAGAAGAATGAAACGCATACTTGTGGCTGTGTCCTCAATAGACATAATCTTACCCAGGCATCCCCATGCCAGAGACAAAGGCCGCGACCAAAGAGACAGACAGTAGCAGCACAACAACACACAGCAGTATGGGCTCGCGAATCCAAATGGGTACTCCCCGGAACCTCGCGTTCAACGCCTGCAGTGCAGCTACGACCACTCGTATGACTCCCTGTGCTGCCCTATGTAGCGTTGTCGCCACGTAGGAGAATGCTATCCGCCCGTCTGATGCAACGGAGTTTGGTCTTGGGATAGGAGGTGATATTCTGAGTGATAATGGGAGGGATCTCGCAGGCCCTGAAGCATGTATTGGGCTGGCCATGTCAACGAAATTAGGACACACCAGCAAGAACACTAGGGTTCCACAATGGGAAGGAGATCAGTACTGGAACAAGACCGCCAAGGGAGCCTGAAGTAACTTTTCGGAAAAAAATGCTGGGATGAGACCAAGAAGGATGCGCGAGCATTCATGAATCAATCACGATTTGCGAGTAGTGTCGATACTTCTGGGTCGTCCGCCGTGTATCAGGTCTCCAGGTTTTCAGCTTAGGCCTAGAGTGCACGGGTCTAAGAGCTCGCATAACGTCATTCGTGCGTGCATAACCATGTTTCCCAGCCATTGTTTGGCTCCCAAGAGCCACCAAGTGCCGCCCTTGGCTGACGACAGTCGGATCCGTCAAGATCATAACTGCAGGCGCGCATACAGACGCGATACGAGGTGAAGAGCAGGATAATGCCCCAGCGGCCCAAGTACTAATCGGCGTCACAATTACTGGTTCTGCTTTTGCTCCACCTTTTTGCTTACGCCATTCAGCTCAGTTGGGGGAAAGCCTTTGTGGCTCGTTATTGCGTATTTCGACTGGGAAATGACTCCAGCGGAATGTATAAGTTGTTGAGTTCGTGACATTATCTAGAAGAGCAGCACATACCATCGGGACTCCCGCCAGTTTCAGGTGGGTCAGAAGGTCTGACGAATTTGAAAACATTTCCCGCCAAATTCCTGAAGCCTGGTCCTAGGGTCTGCCTGCCACCAATCAGAGCAAACCACACGAGGCAATTCTGTTTGCTGGGGATCCCAAGGTTTCCAGTTCACTGCGACTCGCTGGATGCCTGTGTTTCAGTTCCTGGGATGGCACGGTTGTAAACGGTTCCATCTGATTCAGGCTGTTTCAGTGCGGCGCTCCCTTTCTTTCTGTGACTGATCGAACTTGCAAGCAGGTCAGCCATTCATAAGGTAATTATGGGAAACAGCAAGTCTAGTCAACCATTGTCACTCAGGCTGTGCTTTCCTTTCATCAGGTTTCGACTGCCAAATTAACAAGGGCTGGACTACCGCGTAATGAGTATAAGGCAGTAGCGTTGCACCTCTCGTGCAGGACATTAGAAGTCAGACTCGCTTTGTCAAAGAGGAACACCCCGTAGTCGTGTGGCCGGAGAAATTCCGTGAGCATGGAGTTTAGGATTCCGAAAAATCTGGATGACCTCGAGCAGAATGACGACGAGTCCTTAGGGTGTCTTCAAGCCACAGATGTAGCAGAAGCGGCGATCGAGCCCAACCTTGTCAGAGGTACTAATTTTCTGGTAGAAGCTGGCAGCATAGATCGTCCACCTTCACAGACTCGAAATTTTCTTTCCAGCTACTATTTGAAGGTGCTTGTTCGCTATTATTCTGACGGTACTGCGGTATTTTTCGTGCAGAAATCTCGCGTGAGCTCGGAGAAAAGGATATTTTCTGCGTGCAGGAGCAAGAGACATTCAACAAACTATACTCGGCTGTCAAGTACGTCACCCAGGCATAGTAGGCAAAACGGGCCACATACGCCCGTTTCTTACCTTCCGTTTCTTTCTGACTCGCTAGGTTTCAACTCCTAACCCGTTTTATTGAATCCACAGAACATCTCCAACGCTATCATGTTCATATCTCCTCTTTCGCACCCCACTGTAAACTCTCTGCAGGTACTTTGACCAGCTGGATGCCTCGTCCAAGGACCTTCTGATCGACTCCTTGGCGACGAATCTCAGCTGCCTCGTTCCATCCATCGCGGCATTCCTGGCATCGTCTTCCGGCAGCTCCTCCACGTCAGCGGCTGACACTGACGTGTCCACGTCAGGGCCGTCTATCAGATCCTACAGAAACTGTATCAAGATTTACAGTTACTTCCTCGCATGTATCGTCAAGCACGCAGCTCTTGCCAAGGCGACTGAAAATGCCGACCGTCCTTCTCAAAAGGTAATTTGATGAAATCCTGAACTTGAAATGTTTTCTGCGAGGCTCGAAGCGAACACAGACCAACAATAACCTCACCTCATCTGCATCTATTCGTCCTCGTTCCTTGTTCCCTCCTCGGTCCCTCCTCGTTCCTTCCTCAATTGTCTCCTCAGGGGGGTCGCCAGTCGCGGAAGAAGGCGGTGGTGTCGCACTCGTGGGAGTGGCAGCGCCAAATGCCCAAGGTGCTCAAGGCGCTCGCTACAGCCACATCCGTTAAGCTCAGCTCTCTTTACCACGGCTCCGCGCCAGAAGAGAGCCTTATGGAAGCTTATTGCAGTCTGGCGCTCACGCTCTTTGAAGATGCCGAATTACTCAAGAACGGGGATGTGCGCGCGCCGCTCGTGCAAATCGTGGCGCAGTGCGCCGTGAAGCAGGGGTACCTGGTGCAGGTGGTATCTGGGCTGCTGCATCTGCTGCACCACCAGAAGCACTCCCCCGATATAGTCACGGACGTGGTGGTGTACGCGGATGAGCAGCTGGGGCAGGCGAGCCTGGCTGCGGCGGTTCTGCAGGACGTGGGGAGGACGGGGCTGAAGGAGTACAGCCGCGCCAACAGCGGCGTGCACGAGGTGAGTCCGCGTTCCGCGGCTTCGGTTCGAGTTTGTTTCCATCCTGCGTGCCTCAACTAATAGGCAGGGCGTGGAGAGAACGAGGCTGAAGGGGGTACAGCCGAAGGAACACTGGCGTGCACGGGGTGGTGCAGTTGGCGGGTATTCTGACCTGCCTACTGCTGCACATGGTCATTCTGCAACGCCTTATATCCCCGAGTTCCTTGACCTTCAACAAGCAGCGTCGCCTGCTCGCATCCCCAGACACTTGTTCTCACAAATTCTCTCCCACTTGACACTTGTTCTTATTTTTTTCACTCACGTTATCCACCTTCGCGACGCTCCTCAGTTTTCTCATGTCCCTCACTTCTCTCACGTCTTTCGTGTCCCCCATGCCCACGTGCCGCATACCCTCAGGTGGCGGAGTTCCTCATCGCCCTCGCCAACAAGCAGCCCCGCCTGCTCGCCGCGTCCCTGCCGCTGCTCGTCCCGCACCTTGAGCACGGGGAGTCCGCCGTGCTGCGCTGCGCCATCGTCACCGCCATCAGCCGCCTCCTCGCGCGCCTCTACTCCGCCGACGCTGGCGGAGCGGTGCCCCCGGCAGGAGACGGGGGCGCGGAAGGGGAAGGAGCGGAAGGGGACGAGGACGGGGAGGGCGGAAGGGAATCCGCGGGTGGCGTGGAGGAGGAAGGCCCCGCGGCGAGGGGCGCGATGCGCGCGCGGTTGCAGCGGCTGCGGAGCAAGCAGGGGCTGCTGGCGGTGCTGATGGAGCGCGCGCGCGACCAGTCCGCGCACGTGCGCAGCCGCGTGATGCAGGCGTGGGCGTGGCTGTGCGGGGAGAAGGCGGTGCCGCTGGGGCACTGGAACGCGGTGGCGGAGCTGGCGGTGGGGCGGTTGGAGGACAAGTCGTCGCTAGTCAGGAAGAATGCGTTGCAGGTGAGAGGTGAAGGGGTCGTTTGGCTGATGCCTCCACACCCGTATGCGTACTCACACCTGCTTGCACGGGTGTGTTTTCCGTCCACTCTTCGACCACCACTCTCCCAAAGGACCCCTTTGAGGTCACTCTAAAAAAGGCTCGTCTCGCTCATGGTAATCGTGCCCTTCAAACCTCTCTCCACCGCTCTCCAACACTCCCAGCCCCTGCGAACAGCTCTTGGGCGAGATGCTTCACCAGAACCCCTTCGGCCCGAGTTTGCGAGTAAGCCCCTTCAAGGTCACCCCGGAAAAGGCTCGTCTCACTCATGTTCCCGCACACCCCTCTCCACCACTCCCAACCCCTCCCAACAGCTCCTGGGCGAGATGCTTCACCAGAACCCGTTCGGCCCGAGTTTGCGAGTGGCGCCCTTCGAGGTCACCCTGGAGAAGGCGCGCGTCGAGCTGGCAGCCATGGAGGAGAGCCGCCGGCGCGCCGAGCAGCAGGAGGCCAGGGAAGGAGGCGAGGGTGACGGTGATGGAGAGGGTGAGGGCGAGGGGATGGAGGGTGCAGGAAATGAAGGGGCAGGAGCAGCGGCTGCAGCGGTGGAAGTGGGGGTGGTGGGGGATTCTGAAGGAGGTGTGGGCGATGATAGCTGGGTGGACTCCCAGGCCACCCAGGGAGATGGGGAGGGACAGGGAGAGGGAGGCAAGGCAGGAGGCGCTGCTGGTGGTGTTGCAGAGGGGCTTCCAGACGGAGCTGCTGGGGTAGCAGGCGTGGCAGGCGCAGCAGGAGCAGCGGGCGGAGCAGGCGCAGCAGGGGCAGCAGGGAAGGCGGTGCTGGGGCGGGCGTTCGGGGTGGAGCAGACGCGCACGCTGGTGGCGTCGCTGAGCGCGGGGCTGCAGTTCTGCCGCCTGCTGGCGGCCGTCACGGGCGCGCTGGCGGCGCTGCTGGGGTCGAGCGCCGTGTCGGACGTGGAGGGCGCGATTCTGCTGCTCACGGCGCTGCAGCACTTCCGCGTGGATGGGGCGAGCGAGCGACTCAAGAAGATCCTGCCACTGGTGAGATGGGATACGAGTGTGGGGAAGGTGAGGAGTGGATGGGTGGGAGTGGGGGTGGGGGTGGGGGGGGAAAGTGTGGAGTGGGGAGAGATGGTAGGGGGAAGAGAGGGATGGCAGTTGAAAGATGGTTGGGAGGGCGCCATCCTGCTGCTCACGGCGCTGCAGCACTTCCGCGTGGATGGGGCGAGCGAGCGACTCAAGAAGATCCTGCCACTGGTGAGATATGAGCGTGGGAAAAGGTGGGGAGTAGATGGGGTGGGGATAGGGGTTGGGTGGGGAAGGGTTGAGTTGGGAGAGATGGTAGGAGGAAGAGGGGAGGGCATTTGAAAGGGTGCTGGCGGCGCTGCTGGGGTCGAGCGCCGTGTCGGACGTGGAGGGCGCGATCCTGCTGCTCACGGCGCTGCAGCACTTCCGCGTGGATGGGGCGAGTGAGAGGCTCAAGAAGATCCTGCCGCTGGTGAGATATGCGCTAGAGGGGAAGGGGGTGGATGGGGTGGGGAGTGGATGGGTAGGCTGGGTGGAAAGGGTATAGCGGCTCAGGAAGATCCTGCCGCTGGTGAGATGAGTTGGGGTGGGGAAGGCAGCTGACAATCCCATCCATCTCTGCCCTCTCTGGCCTTCCTAACCCTGTCGGTTCGCCCCTCTCCTCTCTTTTCCAATATTTTTATTCAGGTCTTTTCGCACGACCCAGCAGTACGAGCAGCGGTGGAGGCGGCAGTGCTGGAGCTGCACGTGAAGGGGCGCTCAGCGCAGCAGGCAGCTCCCAGCGCCTCAATCTCTGCCCCTCTCTGGTTCCTCCTTACCCCTCAGGTGTTCTCTCACGACCCTGCTGTGCGGGCAGCAGTGGAGGCGGCGGTGCTGGAGCTGCACGTGAAGGGGCGCTCATCGCAGCAGGCAGCGCGCAGCCTCGTGGCTCTCACGCACGGCGCCTCCTCTGGCGACCTGGCGGCGCTGGAGGTTCTGGTGGGCACGTTCGTGCACAACGGGGATGTCACCATGCAGATGGTGAGATGAGCAGAATGACGTGTGAGTGCATATGTCTTTGTTGACCTGGCGGCGCTTGAGGTGCTGGTGGGCACGTTCGTGCACAACGGAGACGTCACCATGCAGATGGTGAGTGAGACGAATGATGTTGAATGGGAGTTTGGTGAGATGAGAATGGAAGTTAGTGAAGTCGCAAAGATGAGAATGACTCTCGAGTGGGGGGAAATGTTTCTGGCGACCTGGCAGCGCCGGAGGTGCTGGTGGGCCATTCGTGCACAACGTTCGTGCTGGTGGACGCCAAGATGCAAATGGTGCGATGAGATGGAAGGGGAGGATTGCGGGGCCAATTTGGTGCTGGGGATGACTTGGGAATGGCAGGTCAAATAGACAGCACAACAAACAGGGAGCTACGGTGCAGTTTCCACTGAATCTTCTCGTCTTGGTGTTTCATAATGTCTCTATTGCTGTTTTGAACCTTTGAATCATTCGTTCTTTCCTCCTCTCCTCTCCCCTTCACCCATATCCTCCACCAGGTGACCATCCTGTGGGACATATTCACTTTCAACCTGCCCGGAGCCACGTCAGCAGAGAGCACAGGCGCGCTGATCCTCCTCTCCATGGCGGCAAAAACCCGCCCGGAAATCCTCAACCACCATCTGAGCGCGCTCCTCGCCATAGGCCTAGGCAGGCGGGCTCAGAGCGACCCTCTGCTTGCTCTCTACGCCTGTATCGCCCTGCAAAGGGTTTCTGCGGAGGTTCGGGAGGAAATGGGGGCAGGGCACCGGGTGTTTGCGCTGCTGGAGGGGGTTATTTCAGGCAGCTCGCTGGATCTGCCCGAAAGGGCGAGGTACGGGGTGATAGAGCAGGCGGTGAGGGCGGTTTATGTGCTGCATCCTGCGCCGGAGAGGTACTGTGGCGTGCTGCTGAAGAAGCTTGTAAAGGGGATGTTTGGACAGGGTGTTGCTGTAGGGGGTGGAGGGGGAGGTGGGGGAGGAGGGGAGGGTGAGGGGAGGGAGGGAAGTTGCGTGAGTGGTGTTGTTGATGGTAGTGGGGAGGCCGGTAACGAGGACAAAAATGGTACAGGAACGAGTGGGGAGGAGGGAATGACAAGCAGCAATGGGGATGCTGATGCTGTTGCTGGTGCTGATTCTGACGCTGATGCTCCGAGCACTAGTGCAAGTGGTGCTGATAATGGTGCTGACAGTGCTGGTCTCCCTGCTGCTGGTCCAACTGCTGCTGCTGCTGCAGCTACAGCTGGTGGTGGGAGTGAGAGAGGTTTTGAGACTTCCCTTAGGAGATTTGACGCTGCAAAGCTCTCAGCTTTCGTTTTTGTGACCGGGCAGGCTGCCCTAGAGCACTTGGTCCACGTGGAGAGGCTCGTGCGCCGCATCCGGGCAGCCCGGGCAGCAAAGGAAAAAGCAGAGGCTGAAGCTGCTGCCGAAGCCATGGAGGCCAGCCTGACCGGGAAAAAGCCTAAGGCAGGCAGGAAGAGCACTGGCCGGAAGAGTACAGTCTCTGGGGCAGGGAAGAGGAGAAGCGTCGCTGCCACCCCTGCAACATATGAATACGAGAGTGAGGAGGAGGAGGCGGGAGAGGAGAGTGTGGATGTGAGGGAGGAGGAAGAGGGGCCAGCGGGTGATGGAGGGGAGGGCGGGGGAAGGGAGGATAAGATGGGGGAGGAGCTTGGGACGGCAGTGACAGCAGAGGCGCAGCTAGAGGCGCTGCAGGAGCAGGTGGAGGGGGAGATAGTGGCCATGGAAAAGGGGCTGGAGAGGAGGCGGGGCGAGGGGAGGGAGTACCTGGTGGGGCGGGTGGCATGGTTCGTCTCGGCGCTGTGCAGGCGGCCTCAGGCGTTTGCAGCGAGTCAGAGCGTGTATGTGTGCGCCGTGCTCTCATTGTCCAAGCTCATGGCCATCGACAGCCACTTCTGGTGAGCATTTCACTTGTCCTCACTCACCTTGACTCACTCGTATTGACTCCCCCGCAGTTCACCTTGTTTTAAGCCGTCTCAAACATGGTGTATGTGTGCGCCATGCTCTCATTGTCGAAGCTCATGGCCATCAACAGCCACTTCTGGTGAGCTTCCCCTCCTCACCGTGACTCAGCTTGACTCAGTTGACTTTTGAGTCGACTCAAAAGTCAACATGGTGAGCTTCCCTTCCTCACCGTGACTCAGCTTGACTCACTCACTTTGACTCAACTTTTCTCACTCTGAATTATCTTGACGACCTTCGATGCACCTTGACGCACCCTGACGCACCTTAACTCACATTGACTCAACTCCTCTCCTCCCTTCTCCCCCCTCCTTCCCCACCCACAGCGAGTCCCACCTGCAGCTGCTCTTCACACTCCTCCGCACCCATCCGCACCCCTCTGTGCGCGCCAACGCCATGGTGGCCCTGGGCGACCTGGCTCTGCGCTGCCCCAACCTGCTGCAGCCGTGGACGCCCCACGCGTACACCGCTCTCAGCGATGGGGACGCCTTTGTGAGGCGGCAGGCGCTGCTGGTCCTCTCCCACCTCATTCTCAACGACATGATGAAGGTGAGACCTGGTTCTTGGGGTTGAGGGCGTCACATGAAGGTCGCGGTTTGACAAGTTATCGTAGGATACAGATCTCTTGGCAGGGGTCTCGAGCAGAGCTCCTAGGCAGGTATCTGGGAGGCCTCGCCCTGTGTTGCCCCAACCTGCTGCAGCCGTGGACGCCCCACGCGTACACCGCTCTCAGCGATGGGGACGCGTTTGTGAGAAGACAGGCGCTCTTGGTGCTCTCTCACCTCATTCCCAACGACATGATGAAGGTGAGTTGTCACAGTTGTTGGGCTCATATGCTCTGTTCTTGGTTACGTCTTTGCGTGGCGGTAGACAGGCAACGCTCTTGGTGCTCTCTCACCTCATTCTCAACGACGTGATGAAGGTGGGTCTGGTTAGATGGCTTCACATGAAGCCCTCAGCCATGGGCACCCCACGCATACACTACTCTGCTCCGAGTCACTTTTGAGTCGATTCAAAAGTCACCTTGAAGTCCTCAGCCGTGGGCACCCCACGCATACTCTACTGTGCTCCGTGTCACTCAGCACCGTCGGCATCATGTCATGCTGAAGACGCTGTTCCGTAGTTTTAAGACGTCTCAAAGAACTTATCACTCAGCACCCCCATCGTCAAATCATGCTGCTGTTCCGTATCTGCTCTGCTCTTACACCCGCCCTTCTCTCTCCCTTGCCCGTCCCCTTTCTCCCCCCGTACCAGGTGAAGGGGCACATCAGCAGCCTGGCAGTGTGTCTGGAGGACCTCTGTCTGCCCATATCTCCACTCATCTTCCCCTCCTTCCGCTCCCCTTTCTCCCTTCGCCATTCACTTCCCCCCCCCCTCCCCCCCACCTCAACCCCCACGCCAGGTGAAGGGCCACATCAGCAGCCTGGCGGTGTGTCTGGAGGACCCTTCCATTCCACACTTGCCCTCGTATTCTCATCTTCCCTTTCATCCCCCCTTGTTCTCTCCCCCACCGCCAGGTGAAGGGCCACATCAGCAGCCTGGCGGTGTGTCTGGAGGACCCTGAGCCGCGCAACGCTGACCTCGCCCGCCTCTTCTTCCACGAGCTCTCCAAAAAGGGTGAGACGCGCCCTCCACCCTCCACCCTCCACCCTCCACCCTCCACCCCCCACTCTTCACTCTCCTCTCTCCAGTCTCTACGCTCTGTGTCCGTCATCTCGCACGTCTCTTCTTCCACGAGCTTGCCAAAAAGGGCGAGAAGGGCTCTTGTCTCTTCATATTCCTCCTCTGCTGCTTCTGTTGCTCCCGCCCGTACACTCCTACCCTGCCATATTAGCGTCTGTCACCTGTCCACGCTCTTCCCTCCTGCCCGTCCCTTCCATATGCTCTTCACCCCAGGCTCCTCGCACGTCCACATTCTCCTCTCTGACATGCTGAGCCACCTGGCGGTGGACGCACTGCCTCTCAGAAGGAGCAGGGCTGAGGGCTCATTGTCAGGCTCACCCTCCACCCCACTTCATCCTTTCCCTTCCACCCCACCGTCCCTTCTTATGCTGTATTCGCTAGGCTCCTCTCTGGTCTACAATCTCCTGCCCGACATGCTGAGCCACATGGCGGTGAATCCGCGTCTCTCAGAGGGAGGGGTGTCATTGTCAGGTCCAACCTCCACCCATTCTCATCCCACTCCACCCCCTTCCTTCCTTCCCTCCCCCCAGGCTCCTCGCTGGTCTACAATCTCCTCCCGGACATGCTGAGCCACATGGCGGTGAATCCGCACCTCTCAGAGCCCTCGCTGCACGCCATCCTGCGCTTCCTCATCGCCTTCATAGACAAGGACAAGCAGCGCGAAGGGCTCATCGACAAGCTCTGCCACCGCTTCACCAACGCCCACCCCGCCTCCTCCTCTGCCTCCTCGGCTGGTGCTCCTTCTGCTCCTGCTGCTACTGCTTCTGACCCTGCTGCTGCTGCTTCAGCTGCTATGGCGGATGTTCCTGTTGACGCGGCCGCCAGTGCCACTGCTGGGGATTCTACGTCTGCTGTTCCTACCGCTGCCTCTGCTGACAATGCAGCCTCTGTTACTGCTGCTTCTGAGGACGGCATCAACACCAACACAAGCGCTAACGCCAGCGGCAACAGCAGCGCCAGCAGTGCCAGTGGTAGCAGCAGGGGTGGCAGGGACGGGAGGGTGCAGCAGCAGCGCATGGTGGCCTTCTGCCTCTCCCTGCTGCCGATCTCCGAGCGCGGTGCACGGCGGCTGATGGACAACTACAAGGACATGAAGGACGCTCTGGGGGACGCTGCCGTGCTGGAGTACCTCAAGACTGCCACTGGCAAGGTGCGCGGGGTCTGGGGTTTTCCATCTGGTGAGTGGGCACTGGGGCAGTGGTGGTGAACTGGCAGCGGCTGATGGACAACTACAAGGACGTGAAGGCTGCTCTGGAGGATGCTGCTGTGCTGGAGTATCTAAAGACTGCCACTGGCAAGGTGCGTGGGGGTACTGGGCTGTGGTGCAGTGAACTCTTGGGGTGCACGGAGGATGATGGACAACCACAAGGACATGAAGGACGCCCTGGGGGACGCTGCTGTGCTGGAGTACCTCAAGACTGCCACTGGCAAGGTGCGTGGGCTGTGAGGGTGTGGGACTGGGTTGTATTAGGACTGCCAGTGGCTAGGTGAGTTGACTCTTGTGGTGCACGGCGGCTGATGGACAACTACAAGGACATGAAGGATGCTCTGAAATAGGGAAGAAAAGCAACCCCTTTTTCCCAATCCCCTCCCCCCATTCCTCCACTTACACCAGGCAAAGAAGTTTGCAAAGCCGGAGCTAAGGGAGGAGCTGGAGAAGTTCGAGGAGCTGATGGGGAGGACGCACGAGGAGAAGAGGGAGGAGGAGGAGGCGTCTGCTGCCACTGCTGCTGCCATAGCTTCCAAGGCTGCTAAAACGGCTGCCAAAGCCGCTGCCAGGGCTGCTGCTAGGGAGGCTGTTGAGGAGGGTGCTGGGGATGGTGGGGATGCTGGTTCTGGGGATGCTGGTTCTGGGGATGCTGGTTCTGGGGATGCGGAGAGTGAAGGTCCTGGTGAAGAGGCTGAAGGGGGAGAGTTTATGGAGTGTGATAGTGGGATGGAGGAGGGTGAGGATGAAGATGGTGAGGAGGTTGAAGAGGTGGAGGAGGTGGGGGAAGAAAGTGCTGGGAAGGAGGCTGTGAGTACTCAGGAGAGAGAGGGAGAAGAGGACAAAGGGAGGGGCGTGAGTGTGCGGAGGAGCAGCCGTGGTGGTGGTGCGAAGAGCAGTGTGAGTAAGAGCAGGAGCAGCATGAAGGGTGGGAGGGCTGGGGGAGTTGATGGTGGGCGGAGGAGGAACCTGGTTGCATGGAGTAGCAGTGAGGAGGATAGTGGAGAGGAGGATGAGGAGGAGAGTGTAGAAGCGAGTGATGAGGAAGTGGAGGAGGTGGTGGTGCAGAGGAGTGCAGGGCGTAGGGGGCGGGGAAGTAATCAGAGACGGGCAAGTGCCCTGAAGGAAGCGGAGGAATCAGAGGAAGGAGGAGGAGCAGAGGTAGCGGAGGAGGCAGAGGAGGCAGAGGAGGTAGAGGAGGTAGAGGAGGTAGAGGAGGTAGAGGAGGAGGATGTTGAGGAAGAAAGTGACGGTGAGGAGGAGGGGAGTGAAGTGGAAGGGAGTGAAGAGGAGGGGAGTGAGGGAGGAGAGGAAGGGGGCGAGATGGAGGAGATGGATGTTGAGGAAGTTGGTGAGGAGGAAGGAGCCGAGGAGGATGAGGAGGGCGGGTATGAGGAGGACGAGGAGGAGGAAGAAGGGGAGGAGGATGACGAGGGGGACGTTGTGGCTGACAAGGGCCAGGCGTTTCAGGTTGCACTGAGACCTGTTGGGGAGAGGAAACATCCTGGCAGGCAGGGGGCCAGTGAGGAGAGGAATGGTGGGATAGAGAACGTTGTCTTGAGGCCAGTGGGCGAGAGGAAGGGCAGGGGGAGGGGGCAGAGGAGAGCGGTATTGGATAGTGACAGTGATGGGAGTGATAGTGATGGAGGGGGTGTGACTGAGGGAGGGGGAACGGCCATGAGGCGGATGAAAAACAGGCGAGCGGCATTGCTTGGGAGTGAGAGTGAAAGTGAAGGGGAGATGGAGATATGTGGGATGATGTCGCTCGGAAGGAAGAAGCCTGCCTCTCCCAGGTAAGCGCAGACTTTCTGGCATTTCTAAGTGGTTTTCAGTCTTTGATACCCATAAGCAGATGGACTTACCAGTAATTGCTTCGTTTGTATCTTTTTTTTTTTTTTTTTTTTTTTTTTTTTGGTGGATGCAGAAACCCATTGAGACCAATCGCCAACAAGAACTAATGATGGGCACTTCTTGCAGTTAATTACCAGGAACAACACAATATCTTGAACTTAATGCTTACTCCCCTTTTAAATATAGCATATGTATTACTATCCAACTGAGAAATAGTGTTGTGATACATCATGTAGTTCAACCGAATATATATGATAATTTAAATCCTTAGGGAGTTTGCTAAGACCTAGAAGTTATCATTTGAGACACTTATTTGTATGCGGTGTAGTTCAGTCATTTAGAGACCCTCTTAAAAAGACGAAATCCAAGCACACGCCAGGACCTGGACACGTGGTCCGTGAGTGCTGCGCTGTCGGCTTCCAGGATTTCAATTCCCCTTTCCACGGGCTCGTCGCCAACTTCGCTGGCACAGAACTCCTAGGAGACGTAGATTGCCCACGAGAATTTGACGAATCACCAAAAAGCAACCGACATGCGTTGTCATATCTGCTCCTCCTGTGGGCGCGTCTCGTATTCCGCGGCGCGCCACGTCACATCTCACTCCTCTCACTTTTCCCCCTCGGGACTCCCCCGCATTGGGCTTGCCTAGGCAGGTCCCAGCACGGAAATTTTAGAAATACCCCCGTCATTTGCGTTCGATCACATCAACATTTTCAGCTTTTACTTTCTCGTCACACAGGCAGGAAAGAGTGACTGTTGCTGACGAAGGCAAGCACATTCTTCTGCTTGCTGATCAAGCCTTCAGCTTCAGCTGTTGTTTACTTTCCGTTCCGTAAACAGCAACCATGGCGGCCCTCACTTCTTCCCTGTCCGTGTCCTCGCGCTTGGCAATGCCGTCCGCGGCGATGACGGCCAGCAGCAGCAAGCTGAGCTCTGCGAGCTCGTTCGCGCCGAGCGTGAAGCACAGCTTCGGGTGCTCCGCGTCGAGCAGCCGCGTGGTGATGGCGGCGGTCGCCGCCGGGAAGGACAAGCCGAGGGACGGCTCCAAGGAGCCCGCGCAGGAGACGCTGCTCACGCCGCGCTTCTACACCACCGACTTCGACGAGATGGAAGCGGTACGTCCACTCGCCTCTGCTCCGCCGCGGCGTATCGTCACGCCTATTTTTCACGGTCGCCCGTACCACCTCTCCTCGATCCCGCAAACTTCATGGATCTGCGTTGTTTGCTCCCTTCTCCGTTTTACTAGTTCAGAAAGCACGAGCTCATCACTCTTGTTTCTCTTTTTCCTTCCATCTCCACCCCTTCCCCCCGATCCGCCGCGCTTCCGCCCCTTGCAGCTGTTCAACCGCGAGATCAACCCGTACGTGAACCAGGCGGAGTTCGACGCGTGTCTGGAGGAGTTCCGCGCGGACTACAACCAGACGCACTTCGTGCGCTCGCCCGAGTTCAAGGAGGCGGCCGACAAGATCCAGGGCCGCGCGCGCGAGATCTTCGTGGAGTTCCTCGAGCGCTCCTGCACCGCCGAGTTCTCCGGCTTCCTGCTCTACAAGGAGCTGGGCCGCCGCCTCAAGAAGACCAACCCGTGCATTGCGGAGATCTTCACGCTCATGTCGCGCGACGAGGCGCGGCACGCGGGGTTTCTGAACAAGGCGCTGTCGGACTTCAACCTGTCGCTGGACCTGGGGTTCCTGACCAAGGCGCGCAAGTACACCTTCTTCAAGCCGCAGTACATCCTCTACGCCACGTTCCTCTCGGAGAAGATCGGCTACTGGCGCTACATCACCATCTGCCGCCACCTCATGGCGAACCCTGAGTTCGCGTGCTACCCGATCTTCGGCAAGTTCGAGAACTGGTGCCAGGACGAGAACCGGCACGGCGACTTCATCACGGCCATGCTCAAGTGCTACCCCAAGTTCCTGACGGCGTGGGACTCGAAGCTGTGGGCGCGCTTCTTCTGCCTCTCCGTGTACGTGACCATGTATCTCAACGACCACCAGCGCGGCGCCTTCTACCGCAACCTGGGGCTGGACGTGAAGCAGTTCGACCTGCACGTGATCAAGGAGACGAACCGCACGTCGGCGCGCATCTTCCCCGCCGTGCTCGACGTCGATAACCCCGAGTTCGAGCGCAAGCTGGATCACCTTGTTCGCCTCCACGAGAGCATCATCGCCGTTGATGCGAACCAGTCCGCGCCCGAGCTGCTGCGGCGCATGCAGAAGCTGCCGCTGCAGGCGGCGTTTGTGGGCGAGCTGCTCGCCATGTACCTCATGCGCCCCGTCGACGCGGGCTCCGTCGAGTTCGACCAGGAGGAGGCGCGCATCGTCTATTGAGAGCCGCGGAACCCTTCCTAAAGAAATGCAGTTTTTTTCTTCCCTCTTTTCTTTCCTTCTGTGGTACAGCCAGCCGCTGGCCCTGATTTTGTGTAAATTTCCCCTTCATTAATAAACGGGTTTGCCCCTTTTCTTGGACAGCACATGTACCTTATACTCTGCACTGTGATATAAAGTCCTTGTGCTGGTTCAGGGGCAGTGGGTATTTACCCTGGCAGCTGCGCTTGCTGGTGTGGGTGGCTGAAGCTGTTGTGAAGAAGTTGCAGTTGCCTGGGGTAGGAGGGGCTGGCTGCGCAAGGTGAAGGAGGGGGGAAATCCCCCTTTGGATTACCCTCGGTTGTCGATCATAATCATCCTACCCACTTGTTTAAACGCCTCGTTGGGTATCGTGGTAATGATATATCCACTCCCAGATGAGCAGTGCGAAACCCCCTTCTGGGGGGCTGGCGGATCTCGCCGGCACTGGGGTTTGATCCCGCAACCTGTCATTCAGAAGTCCCATTCTACTTGACTGGGCCACTTCAGGATGGTGCGCAGGGGGGGAGGTGGTCAAAGTGAGAGGACTTGGAGGCAGACGGAAAAAGTGAGATACAAAAGGGTGCATGTGTGCTTACAACAGGGTGCATTCGTCTCTCATTCTCTTGCATTCCTTATTGCTTCCAATCCATGCTACCGTACCCTGTTTCCATCCTTGCACCCTGCCTCCCTCATGGTCCTGAGAGGAGTCATTTACACTTAAGCTTGGCGTGGTCCTGCCCCTGCCTTCCATCCTCTCCTGTCGTTGCTAATCCTCCCTTCCCTCCATCCGTTTGCTTTGCTTGCCTCACCTTTAGATTTGCGTAATTCCTTGCCTTCGATCACAACTAAGCTACCCTGTGCATCAAACCTCCTTTCCCTTCTATTCGATCCCCTCTGCTCCCATCCCATCCCATCTCATCCCCACATACGGTACCTCTAAAACCCTCATTTCCAGGTCCAAAATCCTCTCTTACCACCACTCCTGCCCCCCACCTTGTGTCTTGCATACCGAAGAGTAAGATTTTCATTGAAGTTTAGGCTTACATGTTATGGACAATTTTTTAAAAGGCGAACTTGGATGTACAGCGTATTTTCCCAGATAAAAGACCTGGAGCAAGTTCTGGAAATTCACTTGAAGTTTCAAGGGTGACAATTATGGTGGATGACTAAATATGACCGTGAATTGTTATTCGATTTACATAGGTCTACGCTGTCATGAATGAACTTGCAGAGTGCGCAGTAAAATGAATAACGAGAATGGTTGACTACTCAATGACGATACAAGGAAAGTGACGAGATCTAAATAGGGTAAATGCTAGCTGGGCGGGGAGGTCGGGCGAGGATGGCTTGGTGATGGTTGTGATTGGTGCGGAGCCGATTCGGGAGTGGTTCGGTGCGACGAATTAGGCCGAGAGGTTCGTTGCGTGACCTTCTGGATGTACTCGCTAAAGTGCGAGTACAGTAAGGAATTGTAATTCCTTACATAAGCGGTGATGCGCTTCAGCATGTAGTTAATATATATCACTGATCTCCATACCGCAACTCACGGCAGATTCGACAGAGTCAAAGTATTTTTCTGGGTGATGTGCACGAACTGGCGGTTAGTTGCGAGTGTAGAAGATAAAGTAGCCCGGCTGGGGTCCTGTAAAGGCGACCTGTGCTCTGAAACAATCAGTAACGAGTTTGTGACTGATCACCTGCACATCGGTTTTCCATACACCACATCGCTGGAAGCGGAAATGGAAGTGAATTCAATCGGGCAGTCCGGGTCAAAGTGAAATGTACCTGTATGCTCTCGAAAACGTGACGCGTCACATTCTCCCAAACACAGTCAATTTTTGTGATGGAAAATATACCGCACTGGATATCTCTGTGTTTAAGATTAACCGCATTGCACCACCCAGCATCCACTTGCGAGTCAACCATCTCATCCAAACGAATTATGCTTGGAACTAATGAAGGGAAATTATACGCGCAGTCACAATGTAGGCCGTATTATCACGTTTGTCACGGGGTTATTACGGACAGTCACAGTACAGTACTTCGCTATCACGTGTGATCACAGCGCTATCACGCGTGGTCACACCTCGCCCCGCAGGGTTATCACGTTTGGTCACTCGTTGAAACGCCCGCCAAAAAGTCGAAACTCTCAAATCTACTGTACAGATTCGGGTACTATTATCTCGCGCGCGTTTTGTCTGTAGTGAAAAACGTGATGTGACTGTCGAAATATACTCGGACCTTGTTAGGGACTGATGCAGTTTAATGCACAGTCCGCATGTTGCAGTGAATATAAGCGATCAATAACAGTTTCGATTATACATTTAGTTTAGGGTGTGCATTTCATCACTCCATCTACCTGACTTGCTCGGTTGTCTTTGTTTCGATTATACATTTAGTTTATGGATGAAATGCACACCCATCTACCTGACTTGCTCGGTTGTCTTTGTTTCGATTATGGAGTGATGAAATGCACACCCTAAACTAATCGAAACTGTTATAGATCGCTTATATTCACTGCAACATGCGGACTGTGCATTAAACTGCATCGGTCCCTAACAAGGTCCGAGTATATTTCGACAGTCACATCACGTTTTTCACTACAGACAAAACGCGCGCGAGATAATAGTACCCGAATCTGTCAGTTACGACTGAAGTGTTTTGCTTGTACTATTGTGTAAGCTTTCACAAAAAAAAAAGTACCCGAATCTGTACAGTAGATTTGAGAGTTTCGACTTTTTGGCGGGCGTTTCAACGAGTGTCCAAACGTGATAACCCTGCGGGGTGAGGTGTGACCACGCGTGATAGTGCTGTGATCACACGTGATAGCGAAGTAATGTACTGTGACTGCGTGATAGTGCTGTGATCACACGTGATAGCGAAGTACTGTACTGTGACTGTCCGTGATGACCCTGTGATCAAACGTGATAATACGGCCTAAATTGTGACTGCGCGTATAATTTCCCATTGAATTGGAACGCGTACCCAACTTCGTCCTTTGCAATCGCTATGGTGGCTGCGCTGTGTATGCAGCTGCGCTTCAGCAACCTCACCGCTCACATCACGCAAACTCCCCTTTCACCATAAATACCCACTTGGGTTCCTCCCAATACCAGCCCCACCCACGCATCATAGCTCATCGTTCAACCCGCCAGTCTCAGCCAAGCCTCGTCAGCTAGTAATCATGGCACGCTTCACCGTGCTCACGGCTCTCGTCCTCCTGCTTGCCGTCACCATCACTCTCGCATCATTTGTTTCCACGGCTGCTGCTCGACCTGTTCGGTTACTACTTCCCAACTGTAATGGGATGACTTCTGATGGTAAGTCGCAAGATTCATGCGAAGTGGGAGTTGCCGTTTGACCCTCTCATCTTCGATGGGCACTAGCGCGCACCTCGGTTGGCAAACAAGACATCTTTCGGAAATGGCTGGCACTCCCCGAAGCTAGTAGCTGCGGACATCATTTATTTGTTGGATCCTCACTTGCACCCACTTCCCCCATCCCCTCCCCTCACCGTGCCTGCGTAACGTTTTTATTTTTCTTCCTTTTGGGCTGAGGCAGGGGCCACGACGTGCATGAACGTCAAGTTCATGAATGCGCGCAAGGGCGGCCACTGCAACTGGCAAAAGGATGAGCCGGTGGATGTCTGCCAGGCCAAGCTCGACCGATGGAACAAGGATTGCGAAGGCAATAGTGAGTCCGTCGCTCACATCCTTATGACTCGGCTTTATCGCAAATCGAACTTTTACCAATGTTTTGAACAAATGAGCGTAACGGATCCATGCACCCTAACTTCTCATCCCTAGCGTTGCTGTTCTGACTCTCTTTTTGTGTTCTCCTGCACAGGCGTCGATATGCCCTTTTGGGCCCTGTTCTCAAAGAAGAAGAGATGCAATTGACAGGTTTCATGGTGGAAGCGAAGGAGCGTAGGAGCGTAAAGATAAATCTCTACGTGCTGGTTCTAGAATTAGGGGCAATATGTGTGTTTACACTGTTTCCATTCAGTGCAGTTGTGTAGGAAGGGCGTGTTGTATGTCGTGTACATTGAGGTCGGTTTACTGGGGATATTTTGCTAAAGGTAATGAACATGGGCCTCTAAAACACTGTTAGTAAACGAAACACGCGGACATTCAGTATATCATGTGTTCTCACATGTTTGGTAAGTGGTATAACATGTTTGGCCACAAATTATTGGTTGAGAATCACGTGTTTCCGCCTGCTTACGACCTCTTCGTTCTCCAGCTTGCCGTCACCATCACTCTCGCCTCATTCGCTTCCACGGTTGCTCTGAACAGCAAAAAGATGCGCCACTGTGAAGGATAGTCTATGGTCGAAAAGGGGCAATCCCGTTTATTGATGAAGGGAAAATGTACACAAAATCAGGGCCAGCGGCTGGCTGTACCACAGAAGAAATTAAAGAGAGAAAAAAAATACATATTCTTTAAGACGGCTTCCGCAGCTCTCAATAGACGATGCGCGCCTCCTCCTGGTCGAACTCGACGGAGCCCGCGTCGACGGGGCGCATGAGGTACATGGCGAGCAGCTCGCCCACAAACGCCGCCTGCAGCGGCAGCTTCTGCACGCGCCGCAGCAGCTCGGGCGCACCCTGGTTGGCGTCAACGGCGATGATGCTCTCGTGGAGGCGCACGAGGTGGTCCAGCTTGCGCTCGAACTCGGGGTTATCGACGTCGAGCACGGCGGGGAAGATGCGCGCCGACGTGCGGTTCGTCTCCTTGATCACGTGCAGGTCGAACTGCTTCACGTCCAGCCCCAGGTTGCGGTAGAAGGCGCCGCGCTGGTGGTCGTTGAGATACATGGTCACGTACACGGAGAGGCAGAAGAAGCGCGCCCACAGCTTCGAGTCCCACGCCGTCAGGAACTTGGGGTAGCACTTGAGCATGGCCGTGATGAAGTCGCCGTGCCGGTTCTCGTCCTGGCACCAGTTCTCGAACTTGCCGAAGATCGGGTAGCACGCGAACTCGGGGTTCGCCATGAGGTGGCGGCAGATGGTGATGTAGCGCCAGTAGCCGATCTTCTCCGAGAGGAACGTGGCGTAGAGGATGTACTGCGGCTTGAAGAAGGTGTACTTGCGCGCCTTGGTCAGGAACCCCAGGTCCAGCGACAGGTTGAAGTCCGACAGCGCCTTGTTCAGAAACCCCGCGTGCCGCGCCTCGTCGCGCGACATGAGCGTGAAGATCTCCGCAATGCACGGGTTGGTCTTCTTGAGGCGGCGGCCCAGCTCCTTGTAGAGCAGGAAGCCGGAGAACTCGGCGGTGCAGGAGCGCTCGAGGAACTCCACGAAGATCTCGCGCGCGCGGCCCTGGATCTTGTCGGCCGCCTCCTTGAACTCGGGCGAGCGCACGAAGTGCGTCTGGTTGTAGTCCGCGCGGAACTCCTCCAGACACGCGTCGAACTCCGCCTGGTTCACGTACGGGTTGATCTCGCGGTTGAACAGCTGCAAGGGGCGGAAGCGCGGCGGATCGCGAGGCAGCGGGGGGAAAGGGGGTGTGTGGAAGGAGAAGGAGAAGGAGAAGTAAGAATGATTAGCTCTCGCATTCTGAAGTGCCAGTTCTTTTCAGTGAAAATGAAGGATCGAGCAAAGTATGTTTCAGATCGACGGGTTTGCGCGATCGAGGAGAGTGATCGGGAGACCATGAATAATAAGCGAATCGAAACGCCTCGGCGGTGTGGCGAGTGGGCGTACCGCTTCCATTTCGTCGAAGTCGGTGGTGTAGAAGCGCGGCGTGAGAAGCGTCTCCTGCGCGGGCTCCTTAGAGCCGTCCCTCGGCTTGTCCTTCCCGGCGGCGGCCGCCGCCATCACCACGCGGCTGCTCGGCGCGGAGCACCCGAAGCTGTGCTTCACGCTCGGCGCGAACGAGCTCGCGGCGCTCAGCTTGCTACTGCTTGCCGTCATCGCCGCGGACGGCATCGCCAAGCGCGAGGACACGGACAGGGACGAAGCGAGGACCGCCATGGTTGCTGTTTACGGAACGGAAAGTAAGCAACAGCGGAAGCTGAAGGCTTGATCAGCAAGCAGAAGAATGTGCTTGCCTTGGTCAGGAACAAACGCTCGTTCCTGACTGTGGGAAAGCTGCAAGTGTCGAGCAGAAAAGGAGCTCTACTTGGTTTGGTGTGGGAAATTCGTGGGAGTTGGGAGTTCCTGATGCAGGCCTGATTGCTTCTGTTGGCTTGGAAATGTGATGGTGAAATATGACGTGACGAACCGCGGTTTGTGTCAAGTTCATAGCGGATATGACAGCGCATGCCCCGATTTCATTTTTCATTGGTGGACGTGGCGCGGCAATCTCGAGTCCTTGGGCTTCGAGTGCCAGCGAACTTGTCAATTACAGGTGGAATTCCAAAGGCGGGGACAGCAAAGCAATTCACGTTACCACGTCAGGTTTGCACTGCTTCGGGCAGCAATGGCGAAGCGGAGGGACAGCAACTTCTTCAGACAAGCCAATTTGATTACATACGAGCTAATAAAATACAGATTCAACCACCTATGATTAGTCAAACTCAAACACATTATCCGCAATTTTTATACACAATTGCCTTTCTATATATGTTGTCATATACATCATGTAGTTTCCTGATGAAATTATTGAGATAATTACATTCTTAGGTGTTCTTAGGAGCTCATAAAATACAGATTCAACCACCTATAATTAGTCAAACTCAAACACATTATCCACAATTTTTATACACAATTGCCTTTCTATATATGTTGTCATATACATCATGTAGTTTCCTGATGAAATTATTGAGATAATGACATTCTTAGGTGTCCATATATGGTGACTTGTTCAGCGTGTAGCTCACATAATTCACTGATATTGACACCGCATCTCACGGCGATTTCCCTACATTCTCCCCAACGCGGTCAGTTCTGGTCCCCACACTGGTTACGATTCACTCATACCTTTTCAACCTCACGTACCGTGCTGAAAGCTTGCGTATCGCAGCTAATCACCTAAAGTTCTCTTTGAAGTTAAATGTCTCATCGAAATGAATTATGGTTGGATTGGAACGCGTCACCCCAACTCCTCTCCGTGGGACTGGGCGATGGTGAACCCTGCGCTGTGGGAGGAACTCCGCTTCAGCGTTCTCGGCGTTCACATCCCAAGATTGTGCACTTTCAGACAACATAATTTCCTGATACCAGACCCACAAATCGTGGCTCCTCATTCACTAGTTTCTTCGTTACTCCCTTCTGCATTCCGCCAGTCTCAACCAAACGTCTCGCCCCTCGTCTCGTTAGTAATGATTATGGCGCGTTTCAACCTGCTTACGGTTCTCGTTCTCCTGCTTGCCGTCACCATCACTCTCGCATCGTTCGCTTCCACGGCTGCTGCTCGACCTGTTCGGTTTCTTGGCACTAAGGGGTATACATCCGATGGTACGTCACAGAACCACTGGGTGTTACGCTTGTAACAACGACTCTGCGCGGCCAACAAGTCATTGGCGCGAAGCATGTATGATAGCCTTGCGGGTTGAGGTTGCCTTCGGAGTTTTCACTCAAACGTACAAACACACATTGTCGAGATCCTCAAGGAAACCCGCCGGGGGATAGCCTTGATGTCTCCCTGTGAAGAAGGTGGTAATGCCTTTTGCCCCTCCCCACCTTTGATTGACAGGTGAGGCGCATCTCGATATACTGTGCGAGGGATGAAACATGAAACGGATGGCACTCCCACCACGTGGTAGCTGCAGGCGTTACTAAGTTGTTGGTTCTAAGCGTATCGCCCAACCCCTACCCTCCCCCTCATGCCTGCTTCGTGCGTTTGATGTTCTTTCTCTCCAATTTTTTGGGCTGGCAGGGAAGGCGTGCATTGAGGTCGAGAGTATTAAAAACATGAACGGGTACTGCTCGAATCAGACGCAAGAACCGGCGAGCTCCTGCCAGGAGAAGCTCAACCGGTGGATCGCGGATTGCAACAATCCTAAAGGTACGTTCTAGACGTCAAGAATGCAGTCATCTCTAATTTAAGCAAACAAACAGGTCAACTCACCCCTGATTTCGTATGCCTGGGTACTTATACTCTGACTCTCTTGAGTTTCTCTTGCCGCAGGCAAAGGTTTTTGGAGGACGGTTGGAACATATTTTGGTTTGAAGTGAATTAAGACACGTGCATCACAAGCTTCTTGGTGAAAGACAACAAAAAGGAAATTTCTTGTCAAATCCCTGCATCTTGGTTCCTACAAGGTGATAGGGAGGGGTGGTTCGTGAAATCACACGATTTTCATGCAGGAGTGCCGTTTGTAGGTAGATCTGGTTGAAAGGTCTTTCATGAGGGCGTGTCTCTGGACATGATCTTTTATTGTAAAAGTGGATGTTTGTATCGAAGCACTGCATGAAGGTAGTACCTTGCTTGTTTCCTTGGCGTCAAGAGCCTGTGGGGCACATAAAAGAAGTCATTGGTGTAAATGAACAGTTCTTGTTAGAGGGGTGTTTACTGTTCCCTTTGAACAGTACTCCTAACCCCATCCTTATCCTGATCTTTTCAGATTTCCTAGTGCCACGTGGCACTCTACCTTTCTTGCTTCTACTTTCTAGTCCCACGAATTACTTTCCGACATTCGACCTTGCATGCTATATCATCCTTGCTTGTATCCACCAATATCAATCAATTCTCATTCAACTCTTCTTCAATTACTCAGTAACTTCTTCGCCTATTTCGCCAATAGTTCTTTCGCCAAAATCTTCCGCCGCGTTTATCCTCGACTTAGTCGACCCCGTTAATCCTTAGCGGATTTAGGCCAGCGGGCCTAACGCTTGGTATCAAGAGCCTTCGTGGGGAGCGACTTCCAACGAGCGACCGTCGACGACGAGACTACGACGTCATCGTCCCACGGTGCCAACTTGCAAACTTGGCGTCGTCGAGCCAACATGGACGAGACCATGAACGCTCTCCCCAACGACAGGAGCAATGCGCTTGCTCAACTCGTGTGCCAACTCGAAGCGTTGACGCTGGAAAATCGTGAGGTACGAGCTGAAATGCAACAGCTTTGTGAATTCGCGTCAATTTCTCATGGTCATGCCGCACCATCTCTTGCACCCAACACGTCGACTGGCGCGGAAGCGCTGCCGGAACGTCGAAGCGCGCTCAAGCCGCAGAAGCCCGAGCCGTTCGACCCAAGCCAACGCGACGCGAACGTGCGGACATGGATCTTCATGCTCAACAACTACTTCGCCAGGAGCGGGGTGCAAGAGGCGGACGCACAGCAGCGGATCGAGTACTCTGTTACGTTGCTGAGGGGCCCGGCCTTGGAGTGGTGGCGCCAACTCACGCAAACTGCTGTAAGAAGGGCTCAGACAGATGGGCATCAATAGGGCGTGGGGCATGCAGCTACAACTTCGAGCTTAGGGAGTCTAGCTTTGGGTGTAACCACGGTTCCGACCACATGGGAAGGATTTGAAGCGGCGCTGAAGAGTAAGTTCGACTTAGTGAATGCCTCCGAAGCTGCTAGGAAGCGTCTTCGTCATTTCCGACAGATAGGAAACGTCCAGGAGTACACACGACGGTTCTTGAGCATCTGCAACGAAATAGATGACATCACGGAAGCAGAGATGCGCGATCTGTCAGAATATTATCTTATTGTTCTAGCCTGTAGTGGGGTGCTCTATAGCGAGTACAACCCTTCTAGGGTTTGCTATTTGTATCCTCATTCTTGCTAGTTCAATCCTCTTTCTTCCTTCTAATTTTGACATGGTATCAGAGCAGGTCGATCCCCTTGGATCGATCCTGTGGGTGTGTCCCCACCTTGCTTCCGCTGCTACTTTTTCCTCCCGCCGTGCGCCCCGAGGCGCGCGGCGATTTTCTGCCCGCCGTGCGCCCCGAGGCGCGCGGCGGTTCATTGCCCGCTGTGCGCCCCGAGGCGCGCGGCGGGCTTCTCCCCTACGTCGCGGCCCCGCCCCGATCGTCGCGGCCCCGCCCCTTGACGCGGCCCCGCTCTACGTCGCGGCCCCGCCCCGGCCCGTCGCCGCCCGTGCGCCTGCTCGGCTCGGCCCCGCTCTACGTCGCGGCCCCGCCCCGGCCCGTCGCCGCCCGTGCGCCTGCCCGGCTCGGCCCCGCCCTTCGTCGCGGCCCCGCCCCGGCTCGTCGCCGCCCGTGCGCCTGCCCGGCTCGGCCCCGCCCTACCTTCGCGGCCCCGCCCAACGTTGCGGCCCCGCCCTATGTCGCGGCCCCGCCCTACGTCGCGGCCCCGCCCTATGTCGCGGCCCCGCCCCGACCGTCGCGGCCCCGCCCCTCGTCTCGGCCCCGGCCCCGTCCCCCCCCCCCCCCCCTTTTCTCCCCTCCCCCCCAATTCCCGTCGTCCGTCGAGGCGACCTGAGGGGGCCGCTTGCGGGTGGCAGGTATGGGGGTGGCCAGTGTACTTTCCTCCCTTTGCTCCTCCTCCTCCTTTGTCTCCCACTGCTGCAGCTGTCGTTGAAGGGGGTGGTTGTGTGGGAGACTGGGTTTAGGGTTTTAGGGGGGTGCGTGGGAGTAGAGCTAGTGGTGTAGCAGTGGGTGTGTATCAGGGGGGTGGGACTGTGTGCGGGAGGATGAGCGGAGGTTGCCAGTTTGTCGTCAGCAGCACCTGTAGTCCGGGGCGCTGTCCCGGTAGCCCAGTCGTAGCCAGCTGTGCCAGCCGCCCGTGGGTCCGTTGCCCGTCCGCCGCTATTTGAGCCGCGGGGCCTGTTACTCCTGTAGTCCGGGCGCTGTCCGGTAGCCGCTGTGCCAGTCTGCCTCCTGTTGCCCGTGTGTCTGCAGCTTCAGCCGTCGCCTCCTGTCTCCTCTCCCCTCACTCTCCCTCCTCCTCCTCACTTGCCCGTTGTAACTACCACTAGCTTTGCTTATAATTGTGAACTCTAAACTATTTCTTCTTGAACTTGTGCTCAGAATGTGTGGTGACATTGTGATCCACCCTGAGCTTGTTTTGCTTTGCCTGCTCTGCTGATTACACCCCACTTTGGCTATGGGGGTGTGTCAG